GGGGGGGGGGACAACGGTAGACTAGCAGTCTCCGGTATTGCATCTTTGGAAGGTCATATATGAGAGACTCATCTCTCAGTAATGCAGTGACTAGGTGGTGGTAGTGCCAGAACAGCCAAGGGGGTTGGCAGGCAAAAATTTACAGTATCCTCCTCATCCCCACTTGTCCTGGACACTCAACGTCTCGCCAACGAGATGAAAGAAAGAGGAAATGACCCTTGTCTGATCTGAACTGCGTTTAAGGCGTCTTGCCGGTTTGGCATGTCTGGTTCATCTGGTGCAGTGAGGCAAAGGGAACAAACACACACAAGGGGTCCCTCTCAACGAAACTTTTTGCTTTTATCAAGCCGAATTGGTTGCTTGTTCATAGGGGAAATACATCCACAGATTCTGACTTTATGCACGTACCTCTTCTCGATGTAATTCTCTTGATAAATAATGCTTTTCCTTTTTAGAAGCTATGCCACGCTCAAAGTGTTCTGTGTAAGTGATACCACCCCACCCTGTGGCCTGCCTGGCTGTCCTGTGCCCTAATTTTGATGACAACGCCTGTAAAAATAGCAATATGGGTATCATCCACCACTGTGGCCCCTGGATGTGGCCAAAAGGCAAAGCCAAAATGCCTCCCCTTCCTGGTGACTCCAAGCCTTGAATGCCAGAATGCTGCAATTACGAGCCAAAACCACTCGCCATCGCCTGTGCCGCCTTCCCATACCCGCGCTTCCCTCTCCCACGGCCTTTCGGCTTGGCTTTGCCAGTCTGTTGCTGTGCCATGTCCTGAATATCGACCTCGGGGTCCTCCTCGCCTGTTGCTGTCCCGTTCTCCTTGTCGGCCTCCTTGCCTTTGTTGACGGAGCCGGTCCCTCCCGCCCTGTGGCTGTTTCTGTTGCCAAAGAGGGCCTCCCGCTTCTGGCGTGCCGCTTCGGCAATTTCCTCTTCCGCACGCTTCTCCTCGGCCTCGTGCGCGGCTGCTAGGCGCGCCAGCTCCGCCTCGATGTCCTTCGAGTCCTCGTACTCCTTGCCAGTGTGGTTTTTGATTTCCTCCATGTCCATGTGCCACTCCTTCTTGCCCACAATGCACGCGTTAATGCGCCTGGGGCAGTAGCGCTCCTCGCGGTTGAACTTCAGCTTGACTTCGCGGCGCGTCTTCTTGCCGCCGAACATGGCCGCAATGATATTGAAGTCAGTGCCAAACTTGCGCAGGAACTCGTAGAAGCGCTCCGTCTCATCATCGGTCCAGTGGTTCGGCCCAACTTTGTGCGGCTTCATGTAGGTCGCGGATGTGGTAGGGCGCGTGAAGTCGTTCTCCTCGATCTCTTCAATGTTGCCATTTTGGGCTGCGGCTCGCGCCTGACGGTCCACCAAAAGTGAACGCGTGTCGACAACAATCTGACCATCAACCATGCGGTATTGAACGCCATCCCCATCTCCCGGCTGCGACGATTTCAGATCTGATGGGGTTGGGGTGGCCGAATTGTCCCCATTGGCGCCAGGAGCTGGCGTCCCGGCATTCGAGCCACCATTTTGTGATTGATCTTCCGCTGGGATGCGTCCGAGTTTGATTAATCTTGCACGGGAGCGCTTGTCCCTAATTCTCTGACGTAGTTCGTCGTGACGACTGAACTTCTTGCCGATGCGTAAATCCTTGGTCAAGTCGCCCATGGTCATCTGACTGGGATCAACCAGTTGTTCTTCGGCATCCTCAGGCGTCACTGAGCGCTTCCTGCGCGACTTCTTTGGCTCCGGCTGCTCGCCGGCTTCTTCGTTATTCTCCGCATCGGCCTTTCTCTTGCGAGTCCTCTTCTTTGGCGCAGCCTCAGCATTTTCGTTCTGAACAGGCCCCTCACTGGTTTCGGTGGAAGCTTGGGGCGCCCGAGGTGCTCTTGGTGCTCTCGGCTTGCGAGGTTTCTTCGGTTGTGACTCACCATCTCCTTCCGTCGGTAGAGCCTTGCGCTTTCTCGGCTTCTTTGCTGCAGCGGTTGGCTGACTTCCAGGCTCTACCGACGGCAAGGCCGTGTCTGCACTAGCCTGCACGCTATTTGTAGATGCTGCAGGAGTAGGGACTTGGGATATAGCTTGAGGTGCTGATGGACCATTTGGTGCTTCAGGATCGGGATACACAGACTCGGCTAGTGTGTGGGCAACATGGTCGGACGCTGCCGTCTCATCCGGTATAGTGACTTGACTGGTGCTGGCCGGCTCTTGTGAGAAGGCTGAATCAGCCGCAGCAGCTCGCAAATTTGTTTCAATGTCCGTAGTGGTAAGAAGGGGTTGATTTTGTATCGCGCTCGCCTTGCCCTTGGGAATTGTCTTGGATCTGGTTGCACTGGTTGCGCTGGCCCGGCGAGTTCGAGGTTGGAGAACAGGGTCAATGGGTACGTTTGTAGGAGCAACCACAGCAGTGCTGCTTTCGACTTCAGCTACTGCTTGCTTTGGAGCATGGTGCTCCTCTTGGGGTGGCGCCTCGTCAGTCCTTTTCGCCGGGTCGCTGATTTGTGAAGGCTCGGTGACCTGAGCCTCAGTCAACGGGGAGGCCGCGGTAGGTGCAGGCTGTTCGGGAATCGCATTGAGGGCAATCGATGAAGGTAATTCTTGAGTACTCGGAGCTGTAGCTATCGGTGCGGGGGTCTTGGATTGTCTCTCAGCAGTCGCTGAGCGGTCTGGAGCTTGTGAGGAAGGTGTGCCCACAGGACGACGACGTGCCACAGGGGCTTTTGGTTTGAATGCGCCCAGGCCGGGCTTCTTGAGCATCGAACTCATCTTGCCGCACCGCAGTAACGTCTGGAAAGGACGCTGCGCAGTTTATGGAGGTGAATCGCACCTTGTTGCATCGCAGAATTGTCGAACAGGTAGGGTACTTCGTTGGATAGAAACTCGAGTCACAAGCGTTTGTTGTAGGCTTTCGAAAATCAATGGGAGGTGCAGTGGTGGGGGACGTAAGTAGGTACTTGATCAACTGATAGACAGATACTCAATTATTCGCTGGCAAAACATGTGACTTGCCCGTCACCATCTAGCAGATCCAGAAAGCATCCCTTTATCAATGATAAGCCAAAGCCTGACTGGGACTAGTGCATCAGGCTAGCCCAGTTCTGGCATCGCGCCATGCTGCGACTTGAATTTCAAGAACGTCAAAAATCATCTCCTTTCTCTCCACGTCCTTCCCTTCCACCCTTTCGCATCTTACGCTCTTTTAATGACCATTTCGAGGCCTCAACCCGGGTCATCGCCTGGCTGAGGAATCCGCCTACCCTTTGCATTCACTTCCTTTGACCTTCTGTTTACATCCTCTCCTCCTTTTTGTCGCCCTTTCGCGCCATCTTTCTGATGCCTATTGCCACCTCGCCCTCCACCATTCTTCCTTCGTCCACCCTCGTCAAGATGGAGGACAGGAAGAGACCAGCCATCAACGGCCCTGACGATCTTGCTCCGCCTAGTAAGCGACAGGCAGTGAATGGCAGCGGCAAGTCTCGAGACGATGGCGTCGACATGAAGGACGAGGCTTGGATCGAGGTAAGTGTCACACGACAGCCCTATCATCGCTTTCATCCCCCGAGTCAATCCCACCTGTTGTCCCTCCTCAGCTCATTGCTGTGGAAATGATTGTTTATGACCATGCATCACAAAGTGAGCGGGTGGTGATGTCGCGTCCCGCACTCTGTTCAACGCTAATGCGTGGCTTGCTGGCAACAGCATGCCGGGCTTTCAGGTCTATCTTTCCTTTGATTGACTCACCAGCACCTACTGCCTTTGATCCTCCAGCGTCGCTTTACATCCTCCATATCGATCGAGCATCATCGAGATAAGAATCAGGCTGACAGTTATGGGTTTCAGGAATACCAAAAAGATGCTATATACCGTCAAATGCTTGAGTACAAGAGGGCGCAAGGCACATTAGAAGCCCGACTTGAGGAAGCTCTCAAACGTAGTGAACATCACGATGATCATATCAGAATAATCGATGCGTGGTGGCTCCAGCTGCTGCAAGAGATCGAACTCGTAGCCGAGGGGACAATATTGTCACAGCCTGAGTCGAAAGGTAAGCCGATCGATCTCCTCCCGCTCCACTTCGTTCCTGAGCGAGGGGCTGACTGTCTAGATTTCCCATCCACCACTAGCCTCCATTTCAAGGATAGTAAAGACTTCCAGCGACATCTTTCCGAAAAGGGAAGAGCCATTAAGTCTGGTCTGGAGTCCTTGTTCAACCGCTTTGCAGCTCGCCGTGGAGATGTAAAACCCGAAATTGTTGAACTCGAATCTCAGATCAACAACCTGCTCGCAAATCAGAAGGAGTATATCGTAAAATTGGCTCGTCTCGACTCGGAAAAGGAGTCGCTGTCCGAACAGCTTGACACAGCAACTTTACGCTACATCAAGGCCGAGAAGAAGCTGGACAGAACCAAGAGCGCTCAAGTGCAGAAGCTGGAACAACAAGCTCTGGCTAGTGCAACAAGTCGCCCTGCTCCCACTCCAGCAGAAAACGGAAATGAGCCCAGTGAAACTAATGGTAACAATGATGGTCTCCGAGTGCAATACCAGGAGGCAATCGCGGTTGTAACCAAGCAAAAGGAGCAGCTGGAGTCTGCATATGCCGAAATCAAGGGTTTGCAAGAGGAAAACACATCCTTCAAAGCACGGCGGGAGAGTCTCACAGATGAGGATTACGCGCGAACCGAGGTTTTCAAGCAGTTCAAGACGCAAAACGAAGATCTGATCAAACGAATCAACCACCTTGAGGCTACCAACAAGCAGTTGAGAGAAGAAGCAGAGAAGTTGCGAGCAGAGCGCACCAGCTTCCGTACCCAGCTCGAGCGCGAAGCTCAGACTGTTACGGGGGAGCTTGAGGACCAGATCCAGCTCAAAGAGCAAGATCTGACTCGAATCAGATCAGCAAGAGATGAACTTCTTGCGGATGTCAGCATCCGCAAGGCTAGCCAGGAGCAAGAGAGGCTTGCCATCGAACAGATGAAGGAGCTAGTCAGCGCATCCAATGACCGAATAGCGGCTCTAGAACTAGAACTTCAGCGCTTACGGCCGAGTGAAGATGTAACAATGTCCGATCCTCATCCAGAACTCGATTCATTGTCGTCCGCCGAGCTGAAGGAGAAGTTCCTGAAGTTGGAAAAGGACTTCCAGTCGATCAACAAAGAACTCCCATCCATCGAAAAGGCTTACAAGAAGACCAGAGATCTCGCGCAAAAGAAGATCATGGACTTCAACGCCCTTGAGGAGAGAATTCAGGTTTTGACTCTGGAGAAGGGCAAGGCAGATCAGAAGTACTTCGCAGCACGAAAAGATGCGGATATTCGGAATAACGAGATAAAGAGTTTGCGGCACCAGAACGGCAAGAGCTCGGAGATCATCGCACAATTGAAAGATGCGGAGGCTCAAGCTCGTGCTCTCGTCAGCAACCTCGAGAAGCAGCTTTCAGATATGAAGCAGTCCAACACAACGGCGATGGAGGAGAATAGGGCGCTAAAGAGCTCCAGCACGGACGCGACTCGAAGAGCCGAACTCGTCAAAGCCCAGGTCTCAGACCTGACGAACCTGGCGAAGGCAAAGGATGCCACAGTTGTGATGGCGAAAGAACGAGCGTCTGCACAGGAATCAGAGGTCGAGCGGCTCAAGGTTCGCTTGGACAACGTGCAGAAAGAACGAGATTCCTGGAAGACCAAGAGCTTGAGCAATTCCTCAGAAGAAGAGGAAATGCTAAGAGTGAGCAGATCCAAACCAAACTTGATTGCAGTCATTTGCTAACATTCCTAGAAACTCGCTCTCTGCTCAGTATGTCGGAACAACTTCAAGAATACGGTTCTGAAGACTTGTGGACATGTCTTCTGCAATGGTTGTATCGATGCCAGAATTTCCTCCCGCATGAGGAAGTGTCCCACCTGTAGCAAAGCGTTCGACAAGCTGGATGTCATGGCAGCCCACCTATGAGTAGTGTCAGGTCAGGAGCATTTATCTGTCACCGCCAACGAAGGCTTATCGGGCCTGGCCTAGGCCTTTTTGGCCGGTGCTCGGCATATGTTGGAACCGATCTTGGATCTTTTGTACTTCTATGTGTGTCTAGGGAAGGAGTGATTGGATGGATTGATGATGGATGACTTGATTGCTGGGTGAACTTGCACGTCTTGATAATGCCTCGGTTTACTGAACGAACGGTGGGCAGCTTTGAGTTACTCCACCTTGCTCCCGAGGCATGTTGGCCATGCTGTAGGAGTCGTGCCAGGATAGAGCTAGATTTGAAAAATCAAAATGTACAGATACCCATCAAACGCTTCAACTGCTTGCATGTGAGAACGCTCGAGAAACAAATTCAGAAACTGCTATGCATACATTGCTGACTTAGTCATAACTCGGGAAAGTCCAAGAGCGATGAAGGACTCAACGCCCGCCTGGTACTGCAATAACTCTCGTCTATAGGAGTCAGCCTATCAAGCCAAGCCTGCTACTTATGCCGACTGAGTTACTCGAAAGAACAACGTATTCTAGGTGCAGAAGTCTTTAAGAGTTAGAAGTTGTTGTGAGGTATAGAGACTGTTAGATCCAGCAAGACCAAGCTCACCGCTTGTTTAAGAAACTGGCTCTCCACCTTGCCCGTACTATTCTCGCAGATACTATTCTTACCATAACCGTACCTTATCCGCGATTACTTTATCATTCTCGCAACGTGATATAGGGAGTCTTCCGAGTTGTCGAGGACCTCAAACTGAGTCAGTCAATATCCTTAGTTAGAAAGCAGCTCATGTAGCCAATGGACACAAACTTTTGCAAAAGCCAGTCGAAGCCAGCTACATCATACTAAGTATCCACTCAGTAAGACTATGTACGAGCTTATTAGAGGCTAGAACCAGAGCTGTATAGCTAGGTAGCCTGCAATACGCATTATACACTATGCACCAAGGGCAGACTCAAGCTATAGACTTATGACTTGCAACTCCGCGAACCATTTCTCGACGGAAAATTATCTCCTATTCCGAACCTTTTCATATTTTTCTGCTAATAAATAATTAACCCTCTAGTGACTAAGTTGAATACCATCTAATGGGGAGTGTCAGCAACTTTCGTCAGTTGACTAGGTTAGTATAATTCCCTTACAATACACTTATAGAAGCGACATCAGATCTTATTACAGTAGGATTTCCAGTTCCTATCATCCTATATGCTCAATACCGAACACTAGCTCATTGCGAGTTGCCTAATTTTGAGATTCGTACAGAAGCAGAGCATCCAGCACTCTAATCCACCGGACCCCTCAACGCCGTTTACTTATACAGCCAGGTAAAGCGCCCTGACGAGAAACCGAATCAGAACATGTACGTTTCAGCGATGACGCCTCGAGCTCCCACCCGCAGAGATACATCGACCATGAGGAAAATGCAAGAGACCGCGAAACAACTGAACCTCCCACCTTACACTCTAGCTTTGATGGTCTCGTCGATGCATCAAATCTGCCCCCTATCAAGTCGAAACTCTCGGATTAGACGCCAACCAAATGTATGCGAAAATTCCAGCAATATCGTACGCCACTGAACCCAGCCATCGCCTAATGGCCTGCCATGGCTTTACACTAACACTTGGGTATGTTTATGCGAAGAAGATCCTATCGTGACACAACATATGACTATTACTTCATGAACTCCAAGCAACAGTAGGAAAAATTATCCGTCTGTAGCGGAGATTGCCGCCGCCGCCATATGTGAGGCAGCTGGGCTCGGTATTCGCTCGCCCTCTCGTAGGCTGGGAGTCTGGCGCTGAGACTCGTCATCCGGCTCCAATAAGTTTCTTAGGTCGAGAGGACTATCTGCGGCCCTTGGAGAACTTTTAGGCTTCTTATCTCTGGTCTTTTTCTTCTGATACCCGCCATACGGTTGGAAGTTGATCGGTCTAGCTTCGTACAGAGATCCTGGCTCAGATGTTGTTGATATGGGAGGCTGTGGCGCGATCGGCGCAAGAGTCGTCGGCGGGTAGCCCGTGCTGTGGGATGCATTCGCCCGGGCCTGCGCTTCCTTTTCAGCCTTGGATGGTCGCCCCCGTTTTCTCCCAGTACCAGTTGTGGATAAGGTTGGACTCGAAGTTGACGCGAATACGAAGCCGTTGGGCGTATTTGGCGACGGCCGCGGTTGGATATTGACATGTGTCGTGGACGACATGGGATGATGTTCATTAGGATTCATTACAGCAAGCCTTTTGGGGACGGATTCGTTCAGGTCGCCAAGGGATTTTCGCTTCAATGGCGCAATGGGTGGAGGGTGCATGGGGACATTGAACATGTTCTCGGCAGCGCGAATGCACTGATGCATATTGCGACCTAGACAGCGACAGATTAAGGGGAACATTCTCTGGGCTCGTAGGCTGTAAAGGCTATGAACTAACTTACCACCTGGGAGCTGCATCGAGAGCCAATCTGGCTGTACGTTGTTTCTTTTCACGAAGTCAACCAGCAGCCCGACATCTATTTCGCTGGCTTTGATCATCTCGGCGAGCACAAAGCGCTGTAAAGGTCAGCATGCCAAATTGATCACATGTGGAAAGGCAGCCTACTCTCTCTGCGTCAGTAAACGACGGATCCATTGTGACGACTCCAACTTGACGTTTAGGGGGCAACGAGCGTGGAAGGCAGCAGGGACGAAGCAAGACGGCTTCATGTCAGGCACAGAAGCAATAGATGACTCGGAACAGGCAGCTGGAGTCTTGGGAGGGGTTGACAGGCCGCAGAGTCCTCGATATAAGGCCGATGTGTCAGCCAGACGAGCTGCGGACAGGAGGCGAAGGCAGTCTCTTCCAGGCCGGGCGCACGAGTTGCATCTACTACCGAAGGGTTTCGCGCAATGATTCAGGTGATTGGACAGCCTCAGAAGAGGAGGCAAAGTCAAAAGTGAGCGGAGGACAAGACGCGAGCAAGCGCGCGTCTTTGGAGGGGAACCTGGAAGCCAGTGCGCAGTAAAGAGCCGAGATTTCGCCTGTATAAAGTGCGTAATGGGCTCCTCCTGGACCAAGGGTTGCACAGACACCCTTGATAAGGCAGCCCGGAGGCCTAGACAGGGAAGATGCTGGCTTAGACACCAGGAAAAGGTCTCTGCGCTGCAGATGTCCCGGTACAGTATGGTGTTGGCTAGCAGTTATTAGAGAGCCACTTCTGGAGCGACAGCTCTTGCGCTGTGGGCCGGGGCCGTTGGAAAACAGAATTAGGTGCGGAGTAGACGGGAAGACTGGAGCAGTTGTCTTGCTAAGATCGAATGTCTCTTCATTTGTTTCTGTTTGTCACATGGAGAGGCCCCGCTGAGCCGCCGGCCGGGTGGTGTCCTAAACCCTGTCCTACTGCATACGGTACGCAAGTGACGTTATGTAGGTGTGGTTATGAGAGCAGCAGATTCTAAAAGAGGCGACCAGAGAGAGCAGCGCAATCAGCAAGCGCCAAAGAAGCAGTTGTGAGACAGGAAAAGCTCAATAGTCGTACTCCAGTGGAAAGGGCTCCGAAGCCGCAAAGTCCGAGTTGAGTCGAGTTGAGTCAAGTCAAGTCGAGTCGAGTCGAGTAGGTGACGAGAGTGAATGAGGTTGAGCGTAGATTAGATACCTGGGTAGAGAATGGTCAATTGCTCGTGTTGTCCCGATTTAGGTTGTCGAGAAACGCCGCTTCCTTGCTGTGGATGCGGCCTCTTTCCTGATTCGAAACCCGGCAGGTGGTTGGGTTGGACACGGGGAAGGAAGGATGGATGGGCGGAAAAGAAAGCCTAAGGCACGGATGCCGTTTTCTGTGTTTCTCTCTGTTGCTTGCTTGCTTGCTTGCTTTTCTTTTTTGCCGTGCATGCCCCAAGGGCGATACGGTAAAGACTGGATGGGTAACTAGAGCACGAAAGTAGTAGCTGAGCTGGTGCTGGTCGCGCTTCTTTGTCGTCTTCTTCTTCTACCCTTCCTTCTTGTTCTTGTTGAGAAAAGCGCGACTGAAATTACTAAAGTGCCGATTCCTTTTGGTGTTTTACGTCCATTAACGTCTCTCCGTCATCAAGTGCGCAACTCGGGCAGAAGATACCAGGTATGTACGGTGATGATGATATGCTCGACTGAATCCGGGAAAATCCTGCTTGTTCCCCTCGACACCAAAATCTAAGCTCTCGCTGCGCATGCGTCAGGGTCGTCAGCCCTTCGCAGCTCCCGATCCGACATACATACAGTAAGGTAGCAAATTGGGTCTCTTCCGGCAGCGGATGCACTTCCACACAGCGCAGCTGATCTTGCTCGCGTTCCCGGTCGGCAGTAAGGTAAGGTAGGTAAGGTATGTTACCGCTAATACCTATCCAGGTCTCGCGCTGCAACAGCAAATTGCACATGCGCATGCGCAGGCCGGCTCTGACCTTCAATCTCATGGTCGCATGCTTCATGCAAGCTCGATCAATGAGCGCCTGGCGCTGCATCGACGACTGCAGTCCTGCTGCATGTAAGGCAAAGTGACGGGCCAATTAGCTGCCCGCCAGCTAAGACCACTGCCACCTGACACCCCTCTAGCAGGCTTAGAGCAGCCCCTCTATGCTGAGGGAACCCGAGATGGATTTGGGCGAGCGAGCACGCGGTGAGGGTGAGGGTGAGCTGGCCAGCTTGTCGAGGAGGGAAGTCAGTCGTCCAGAATCCATCTCACCACAAGACCGAAGCTTGGTTCAGCGGCGAGTGAGATGGCCCTCCGCCCTCCGTATAGAATAGTCTATGCGCCAGTCACACAAGATGACTAGGCAAGGGGACTTCCCGTCAATTCTTTCGGCTCTTGGGAACTCCCAGTCCAATTGCGCTCCGTCTTTGGCATTCGCCATGCTGGATCCGCAAGCCCAATTGTGGGACACTGGCCGCATACTGCGACCGCTGCATCTCAGTGGTCGCCATCGCTGATGCTCTTCACCAATGACATGGCCGAAGCGGCCTCTCGCCCATCACACAACACCATCAAGCACATACCAGCAGTTCTCCATTCGAAGAGCCGCATCGGTTTGCTGTGAACATTTGATAGTCGAAAATGGTCCGTGGAGAGATCAGAACGGTTTCAAGGCAACGCTGATGGATGGAACGCGTGCTAGACTGCATTTATATACCCGCGATTTCTCACACCGCTCCTATCGCCAGCTCTGAACCGTCCTTCCAACTCCAAACACTTCTCCACCCGCTTGCTGCACGATGAGCTGGCAACGGCGCCGGATGTTATAGCGGCGCAACATTTCCAAGCTCTCCCACGCGTCCTGGCGTTGCTATGCATTGAAACGGATGGCCTAGATTGCCTTCGTGGCCATTCCCGTCGCCACTTCCAATTGCGCCAGTGTCGTGTTCTGTTCCATGGCCCTGGGTGTGCTACGTCAGTAATCCTCACGTACGCACATAGCGTGCAAATCACATTATTACACGGCAGACGCGTGCCATATGTGCATGCGGGAATTCTGTCCTCCTTCGGAAATGTCCACGGATGTCCACGATTAATTGTGAAGCCCAGAGTCGTGGACGTTCTATCCTAGTGCGCAATTGTGGTAACCAAGCCGCCTGTTCCTAGATGGACGTCTTGATGTATCCCGGCCTAAACCCACTCACATCGGATAACGCGACGCCCTACGGCATACAATGTCAATATAGGGCCTTATCAAGGGAACCTGTGAACATGATCGTTGATGGAATGGAGTAGACGGCTACAGTACCGTAGTTGCCGGTTTGTGCACTCGCCGTGTACGTCAAGCTCCGGCCGAGGAGAAGCATCAAGCCGCCCGGTCTCGCGATACTATATAGCTATGCATATGGCTTGAGTGCTCTGAATCGTCCTCAGTTTCTAACACAACCATAATAGCTGCCACTAACATCAATCCATCAGCTTAATGGGAAAATAGGACCGATATAGTGTTCTCATACGGCATGAGCTAGCCCTGAGAGTCTTGGTATACTTGCGACTAAGAACCATCTTGAAGATGCCCCTCTATAGAGCAAAAAAATGAAGTTCCCATTCAAAATGTCTAATTTGCTGACTTCTTTCCTCCAGAGCTGAGTATTTCCATGAGAAAGTGTGGTCCGTTTCATTTGTAGGAGTTTATTACTATCCATGGCTGAAGGGTGGATGAAGGTTCCTCACCGTCCTCCTGGGTGGGACCGAAAGTGTGCGCTCTCAACTAACCATCATTACAAGCATGACAGGAAAGTGACCAGGATATACAGAAGCAATGAGGACTAATGAAAGCAGTTGAATGTTTCCAGTCTTGTTTCTACATGCCAAAAGAAGGGAAATGTCTTTTGAAATCCAAGATTGATGGATTGGACATTTAACTTTGCAAGTTGTCGAACCACCAATCAACCCTCATGTCACCAAAATTCTGTCCTAGATGATCTATTATTAGCTATACTGGGAACCTCACCAAAGCCTCTCTTCCAGGTGTCAGGATTGTGTATCTTGTTGGTTACAAAAAAAAAAAAAAGATTTCCTCTGAGCAGAGGTCACCACTGATTCACTCGTCTCGCAAGCCGGTACTAGTTAATGCTACAATGCGACACTGCGACTTACTGGTGAAGTTAGGACAGTAGTGGCAGGATCCACTCCAGGATTAGCTAATGCTCTGCGGAGACACCCCTGTCGACTTTGCTTTGCCCGTGCCAATTGAACCTTTGAAAAAGTGCAGTTGCCGATTTCCTCCCTCCCACTGAACTGAAGTAGCCAACAATCCCCGATCCTGGACCTTTCCGACCTTTCTGTCGAGCTTCCCCGGTGCCTCATCACAGCGGATTGCTGGGCATAGCGTCGCAGTCATCTCAGAAGACCCAAGCGATGTAGCTACCATTTCCTTACCTTCCCGCTTTCCCGCAAACCTTGACCGATTCCTGGGCTCCTCTGACCTTCCCTCTCCTCCTGGGCTCCTCACCCTGGGCAGTTTCGGTCTCTAATCTCTTTCCTCTCTCCGCCCACAACACTCTCATTTTCGCTCTCGCCTCAGATTACCACTTTTCGCAATGGAGGACGAGGAGCGCATACCCGACGCGATCAGCGTCATGAAGCTGGAGGGTGAATCGACCGGAAGGCCTGACGCAAAGGTCAAGCACGAACGAGCGAGCGCTTCTGCTACGCCCAACGGCTCCAAACCGACGTCTAGATCTCCCAGTATGGCAGATCTCAAGACGGAAGGCGACGGCGAATCCAAGCAAGACATTGAGCCCACACCCAAGCTATCTAGGAAATCATCCTCTAAGACTGCCAGTCACTCTGCTCGTCTCTACGACCATCTTCCTAACGTCACCGAGGAATCATGTACCCATTTCCAAGTTATCACCGACTGTCTGTATGGGTCAAAGCACATGGGATCTTCGGATCACGATGCTCTAGACTGCGACTGCAGCGAAGAATGGCGTAGGTCATCCTGCTGGTTCACTGACACTCGTATGTGATCGCTGACGCAAATTCTGCATAGGGGACGGACAGAACCACGCTTGTGGCGAGGACTCTGATTGTATCAACAGGGCCACGAAAATGGAATGTGTCGATGGCGACTGCAATTGCGGAGCTGGATGTCAGAACCAGAGGTTCCAGCGAAAAGAGTTTGCTAACGTGTCTGTCATCAAGACCGAGAAGAAGGGCTTCGGTCTCAGGGCCGACAGCGACCTACAGGCCAACGACTTCGTTTTCGAATACATTGGCGAAGTCATCAATGAGCCGACCTTCCGCAGGCGCATGGTCCAGTACGATGAAGAGGGCATCAAGCACTTTTACTTTATGTCACTGACCAAGAGTGAGTTTGTTGACGCCACCAAGAAGGGCAATCTGGGGCGATTCTGCAATCACTCCTGTAACCCTAATTGCTACGTGGACAAATGGGTGGTTGGCGACAAGCTGCGCATGGGCATTTTCGCCGGCCGTAAAATCAAAGCGGGCGAGGAATTAGTGTTCAACTACAACGTGGACAGGTACGGCGCTGATCCACAACCCTGCTACTGCGGCGAGCCCAACTGCACTGGCTTTATCGGAGGGAAGACGCAAACAGAGCGTGCCACCAAACTGCCCCCTGCGACAATTGAGGCCCTCGGCATCGATGATGGCGATGGCTGGGACACTGCAGTCGCTAAGAAACCCCGCAAGAAGAAGCCTAATGAAGACGATGAGGAGTACGTTAACAGCGTGCAACCCCGCGGCCTGGGCGAGGACGGCGTCACGAAAGTCATGGCAGCGCTCATGCAGTGCAAAGAAAAATGGATTGCAGTCAAGCTGCTCACCCGAATCCAGGCTGCAGACGATGATCGCGTTCGGAATCGTGTGGTGCGCATGCACGGTTACCAGATCCTCAAAACCACACTGGTCACTTTCCTGGACGACAACAATGTTGTTCTACAAATTCTCGACATCCTCGACAAATTTCCCCGCTTGACCAAGAACAAGATCTCCGACTCCAAGATAGAAGCGACAATTGAGAGTCTCACGTCGTCTGACCACGAGGATGTGGCAGCCGAGTCGAAGCGCCTCCTGGATGAGTGGAGCAAATTGGAGACGGCGTATCGAATTCCTCGAAAGAAATTCGACCCCACCGCACCGGCCGCCAACTCGTTCGAGGAGCGTCGCAACCTTGACCGTGTAGAGGAAGTCACCACCACAAAGCCCCTTTCGCCATTCTTGAGCAGTGTGGTAATCCCAAAAGGACCGCGCAGCAATGTTCCCCAACGAAACGTGAATTTTTTCAATGGTCAGCGGCCACCGCGCAGACCGCATCCCGGCTACACCTTACCGTTGGGATGGTTTTCTGCTACCGATTCCCGGGGCAACACATACTACTATAACAAAGCTGGAACGACGACCTGGAAGAGACCGACAGCACCAGCCCCAGAAACCCCGAAAGCCCCATCCAAAGCCGTGCAAGATCAAAAGGCTCTTCAAGACATCATTGATAGCTTGACAAAGGATCCCACACCCAAACCTTCTGCTTCGCAAACTCCACAACCCGTCGGAACTCCTGTGCAGGAGCCAAAGAAGGAAAAATGGCGTTCTCTGCCTCTAGAGAAGCAGATGAAGATCTATGAGAACACAGTAAGTACTGCATATGACCCAATATAATCCACGTGTGTGCATCCGCTGACCATGCACAGCTTTTCCCCCACGTGAAGTATGTGTTGGACAAGTTTCGGCACAGACTTCCCAAGGAGCAGCTGAAGAAATTCGCAAAAGAGGTTAACAAGAAGCTTGTGGCTTCTGACTACAAGAACAACCGAGTAGAGGATCCTACTGCCATCTCCTCTAAGCAAGAGAAGAAGGTCAAGAAGTACGTCAAAGACTTCTTGGACCGAGCTGTCGAGAAGTATAAAGAGCATGAGAGGAGAAAGGCCGAGCGCGCAGCAAGGCACGCTGCTAACGGCACGAAGCCCTCTACTGCAGCAGGTGAGGATCTGGCCAGCAGCGAGACGCCTGTTGGCCATGATGAAGTCGAAGCCATCGATGACCTCATAATGAGTGATGTAGACGATGTTCAGTCACCAGGTAGTTCTCCTGAGCGGAAGCGTAAGAGAGAAGACGAGAACTCGCCCAGCCTGACGCCATCTGAGACCCCATCAGTCAAACGACTGAAGGAGGAGGACGTCGAGCCTAGTCCTCCACCCCCACCCCCACCACCGCCCGAGGCCGCTATGGACGTTGCCATGGCGGAAGAGGAGGAGGCCTTTGTGAGGGAGAACGAGGAGGCGCAGCGGCTTGCCGACGAAGCTGAGCAGGATAGAGCCCGCCAGGAGGAGGCGTTGCAGCGCGAGAACGAGGAGGCCATGAGAGAATTCGAAATGGAGCAGAAGAGCAAGCAGGACCTCGGCAACGATGCCGCGATCACGCACCCGGCCATCAATGGAGAGGGCCTGTCCAAGACGGACCTACCAAATGGCACCATCATGGAGGCGGAGGACATGGAGTTGGACGCAAATGCGAATGATGGTGGCGCCGTGAAGAGCCATGAGCGTCAGGCACGTAAGCAGGAGGTCCTAAGCCATTAGCACCACGGCCTGACACTCGGGGCCTTCAAGAGCGCGCGCTAAGCATCGCTTGAGTCCTGCCCCTAATCATGATAATAATGTATTACTACAGCATATTCCCCGGCATCATCACGCACTTTTCTATATTACTGCATATGGCTATATAAGGTCAGGAATTCAGGGCCGGTGTGTATTTACGTGTAAAAAAGGGCATGTTTCTTTATTTGCTTTTTCGGTTGCGAGGGATGGAAATGCAAGGTGCCTGAAAGGGCGGCGGACCTTTTGGTTTTGCAGCAACAGCAAACACGGCTGGCGTTGGCCATTCTATTTTTTTTACCCACTACGTTATGTCTCGCACAGGGGGCTGGTCGGCATTGATTGATTAGCATTCAGCGCACAGGAGGGGGTGGTGTTGACCGGGAATTCAAGGCATTTTGTTGTTTCTCATCGTCACCGTCGTCGTCGTCAAAAAGACGGTCTGCCTATTTCACTGTGCTGACGTCGCTTGCCGAGGATATACATATATATACCGCACACGAGAGAAGCGAAAGACAAACGAAAATAATGGCAATTGGTTCTGCGTTTTGATCCCCGCGATGGGCTGGCATTTTATTGCGTGAAAGCATGTATCCAGGATGGATGGACGGACACCCCGTCAGTCGGTTGGTCGGTCGGTCGGCATTTGTTTTTGTTTTTGGCTGCAGCTGCAGTTGTCTTAGAAATATATACCCAGGGCCGAAAGCAACGGCCCACCGTCATATCTTAAATGTCACAGTATGATTTATTATCCGCCGTGGAAGGAGCTTTGCATTGCATGTGTCTGCGACAGACTTGCGCATTGGCGACTCATGTTCTCTGCAGAGATCGAGTCAGGTCCATGTTCGATGCGGAAGCTGGGAGTCAGTGGACTCGGTCGGCACGCAGGCAAGCAGGCCGCCCAGCAGGTGGCCACCATACCTGGACAAGCAAAGAGGCGCACTGGTCATAGAATAGCGGTGCTGGGCGCTGAGGAGCGAGCGGTACTTCATGTATATTATATCCTTCTCACTTGCGAATGTGCAAAGCGGCATACAAAAGCCCTCCGTATAGCAAAATTTTCGCTGCATCAGGGCTTCAGAACCCGACGTTATGTAGTTTAGTACCCCGAAATGTCTTCATGAACGTATAAAAATATAGTAGCTAAAACCTCCTGCCACCGTAGCGCTGTTTTCCCCCGTCGTACCCAAGCCTGCTTCACGAATTTACCAGGACGTAACAATCTTCTCCAGCGCCTCGAGGAGGATGTCCGCGTGCTTCTCCTCGAAGATGAGCATGGGCCTTAGCCGCACGGCGCTGGCGCCCGAGCCACCAATGTTGATGCCGAACGACTTGGCCTTCTTGAGGAACTCGTCGCGGCGCGGGTTGTCGAAGGCGATGAAGGTGCCCATGCCCTTGCCGCGGAGGTTGTCGAACTGGCCCGGGTACTTCTTGGCCAGGGCCTCGAGCTTGCCGAAGAGGTAGTCGCCCACCTTGGCGGTCTTGGTCACGAGGTCGTTCTTCTCAATCTCCTCGATGATGGCGCGGAAGAGCAGGGCCCTGGCCGGGTCGCCCATCCATGTGTTGAACTGACGGTATGGCTTGTTGGGCCTCAGCTCAGGGTTGCCAAAGTAGTAGCCTGCCGTCTGTGCCTTCTTGGAGAAGGTCACCATGTCAGGGGGCTCAGGCAGGTTCCAGTGCTCGTGGGCCCAAAACTTGCCGGTGGCACCAACACCGGTCTGCACCTCATCGACAATCATGAGGACATTGTGCTTCTTGGTCAGGGCACGGAGACCCTTGAAGAAGTCGGCCGAGGCGTGGTTGTCACCACCCTCAGACTGGATAGGCTCAACAATGACGGCGCAAGGGGGCACGTGGTAGTTCAGAATGAGGTGCTCAACCTCAGCGAGGGCCTCCTGCTCAGCCTTGCGGTTCTCCTCAACGTGATCCTCCAGAGGATACTTGAGTTGAGGGAAAGTGGCCTGAGGCCAGTCGAAAGCAGGGATATCAAGCTTGTGAATAGGCTTAGAGCGTGTGGTAGACAGAGAACCAAACAGACGACCATGGAAGGCGGTCTTGAATGACATGATGGATAGTTGCGAGGCGCCGGGTGACTGGTTGTTCATGGCGGACTCCATCTCCTCCTCGGTGAACTCGACATGTGCGCCGCCACGCTCCTGCTGCCGCCTGTACATGAAGGCGGCTTTGTAGGCAGTCTCGTTGGCATCAGATCCGGCCATGGCGGTGAAGACTTGGTCCAAGCCCTTGGGGGCCACCTTGAGGATACCAGTCTTGAGCACATTGGCCCAGTCCTGGGGCGGGAAGTTACCCAGCGCGGGACGGTTGATGAGGCCATTGATCATCTCCTCGCCCTGAGCTGCCTTGAGGAGGGCAGGGTTGTTGTATCCCACGGGGATACTGGCAATCTGGGCGTAGACATCCAGCAGAACGTTGCCATCCGGGTCGGCAATGTAGTTGCCCTTGCTGTTGTGGTAGTCGGTCAGCATGTTCAAGCTCCGGGTGTCGAAGACCTTGTCGAGCTCAGCGATGGCGGCCTTGGACTTGGGCCCAGGGATCTCCGTCTTGACGGTGGGAGCCTCGGGCTCCCAGGAGGAGTAGTAGGAAGACATCTTTGCAATTGGGAAGAGCCGTCCTGGTACAGCAGGAAGGGCAGCAGAGCAGCGAGGACGGAAGGAGGAGGAGGCAAGTCTGCTTGAGGCGGATGCTGTGCGCCAGCAGCGGCCAGCAGCCCGTATGGCGGACATGTTGGGCCTTTATGTAGGTATCTGTGCTTTGGTTTGGGCGTTGGGAAGGGGCAAGAATTCACGCGGCAAGCTCCACAGAAGCCAATTGGTCCCTGCGTCAACCAATTGGTCAGAGTTTTCGCTTGGACGAGACAAATTCGTGAAAATGCGGGAGATCGTGAGCCTTGCAGGAGAAGATGGAGGGAAGAGGAGTGGAAGTATGAGGTGTGGACGGGTTGGAAGGGGGCAATAGGAGGGGGTTATCAGCGGCTTATCGGAGCTCTTTTTAGTGGAGGGGCAAGCGTGACGTGAACACCGGCCACGCGCTGGAGGGCATTGGAAATGGAGTGGGGTAGGTAGCTTGACTAGCTAGCAAGCATTGTTAGGTATTCAATGGTTACGCCTCTTCTAGCTGGTCGACCTAGACCCAGACTCAAACCACATCGTCGAGAACAATCCGGGACGCCGCATTGCTAAGGATGAGGCTAATGGATCTCGAAACTGTAGATGATCCAGGTAAATGTACTTCTCAATGGACATGCTCTTGAGCTTCTTGACGAGGATGAGCTTGTTGTAATGAGGTATAGCAACACCCTCCAACATGCTACTGATACCTCCTTTCTCAAGGTCAAAAATTCCGGGGAGAAAAAGATGCCTACCTGGGAATAGATAGCTAAGTAGATAGGTATCTACATTACATGATGCCCGTACCAAGAAGCCAACGGCAATCATCTCTGGGCCGGACCCTGCAGCGGTTTGGTAGAGGATATCTGAGTCCGTGGAGCTTCGCCGTGTGGAGGGGGCGCTAGTAGGTAAGCTTTCTCAAGCTTTGCAGTTCTGGGCAGGTACAGCCGGCCGCACGCGCTCCCGCCGCGACAAAGAGTCCTCCATCGACGCATCCTCTGCCATCGCCGACTTCGGGTGCCTATCCGTCTGTACCAACCTGCCACCTCCACCAAGTCGGTCGGCCCGCGGCCGTCGTGATATCTGTTCTGACAACAAATATTTGGAAATTGCCGAATCGGGAATGTCCAGCCGAATAAGGGACATCACGGGGCTTAACTCCTGCGCAAAGTGCTCCTATTGGGTTGCACGGAAAATCCATCTTTTTCACTCATGACGAAGTCTGTCCGGACGATTCCTCATCGCTATCAGCTTCCTCCTGTCCCAGGCTCTTCATCGCTTTGACACTTGTTGCAGTAGCTCATCTCATGATCATGGTTTATTGATTGCCACACTATGGCCGTTATGATTACAATTCAGACCCTTCCACCAACGCCTATTGTCTCTGGTGTATCCGTCACACAACAAAGAATCGTCCTACCAGCCAAAAGCCAACCCTCACGAAACAGATCATCTTCTCAAGTCGACGATGAGCCATTATGCTGGGGTTCCGTCCTGGATGCAAACTCTAGAGTTATACAAGCAGGCTCCCCCCGAGATAATAGTCTCTGTACTCGAAGGTGGAGATTTACGCACCGTTTGAAAGAAGAAATGTAAAAAAGAAGTCGTATGTAATGCACGTCATTGAGAATGCAGTGATGGCGAACAACTGCTTGGGTATGTAATGAACGTACGCGACCAAGAAAAGAAGAAGAATGGCGAGGCGCGTATGCGAGTGAGTGGTTACTGGAACTCCTCCGCTGGGTACAATCCCGGATGACTTCCAACAGAGGGGTACCCGCCCAGGTTCTAGCTGGTTCCGGGCTCTGTCTTCTCAGCTGACGGGAGTTCGAGGCCCGCGCTCTGGGCAGCTCTCTTCCACGTCTCCAGCTCTCGGTAGAGCCGCTCGCATTCGAGCTTCAGCTTGTCGTTGGAAGAGCTCAACTCGGCAATCGCCTGCTCTGTCAGCAGCTTTTCCAAGGTCCACTTCTCAATGTTCTGGGACTCGTTCTCCTTCAACTGAGTGATGAAAGCAACAGCGCGCTGCAAGATAGACCCCTTGTTCTTCTCGCATCCGGGAACGATCTTGGCGAGTTCATTAATCCCTTCATTGATCGTCTCGCGGCGGCGACGCTCCACTACAAGCTGTGTTAGCTCAACGGATCTCTATCTGCGCTCAACGGAGCGAGTCTCACCTTCTTTATGGTTGTCTTTTCTCATCTTATGCCACTCCTCGGAACCCACAGCAGGCTTAGGGTTAGGCGTTGAGCCGTAGCGCTGGTCTTGACGGACTCCATTTGCTGGATGAATGCCACCTGTGGATACCCCGGATGTGTCCATGGGTAGCCCATCATGGCCAACATCCGCGTATGAGGTGTCGTGATGATCCGTGTCGACACCAGCCTGGGCGGCAAATGTCTCTTCGGTTGACTGCGGGATGTGCAGAGTCGGATACATGGAGCCTAGGGCAGCAGCGGCAGTGCTGGAAGCGTTTGCTGGATCCGAAGCCTCACTGTGTTCGGCAGCGGCTTGTTGAAGAGCACTGAAGTCTGAGACGTTGACGCCAGCGGCGGCGGCAGCCGCATGTGCAGCTTGCGCCGTGTCTGCGCTCTCCATGAATGCGGCCGAAAGAGCATCTGCGGCCATCGTAGCAGGTGGGATACCGCGCTTGTTTCTTCGTGAGTCGGGAGATGAGTCGGGACCACCACGCTTGCGCTTCAGAGGAGGGGAATTCGTGAGGGCGGAGAGATCAGGTTCCGCTGTAGCGGTATCGGCCATAACGGAAGCCAAAGCTTACTGGTATGGTGCCGTGATTGTTAGACGTGTCTGTGTCGTTGTCATCGTTAGTTTAAGCATCTAATGCTTTGTGCAACAGCCCGAGGTAGTTGAGCAAGGTAGCGGAGGGCCAGCCAGCGACGAAACAATAGTCGCGCAAGGCAACAAGGCCGACTGGCAACGGAAGTAACGCAAATTTCAGATTATGACCTGGGTGGGATGAGGTTGAATAGCGAGCACTTGCTCACCTGACCCTCTATCACAGTGAGTGGTGGACTCGCTTGCATGTCCAAGGCTGTGAGAAAATGCAACATGCAACCCGAATGTGTAACTGTAGTTGACACTGCTCACAGGTCTGCCTAAGTAGCGTAATAACCTGAACTGCCGACTTCGGCTACTGTGCTTGTAATGTGAGAGAGATCTGTTTACAGAAATCTTCTGAGATGAGATGAATATGATATCAGAAGGCTGAGCTGGTGCCATGACAAGTGAGATCAGATTATCAACGACAAAGGCAGCTGGCTGGCTGAAAGTGTGTCGCTGAAAGGCAACATTCGCAGCAACGACAGAGATTTCATCCTTCCACGACGAGGAAAGTCGTGTAAATAGTTGCCTCGACTTGTTGCGCCGTGTCTCTTTTGCATTGTGAAGTGCAGCTCTTGATGGACTTTGATGAAATGAAACGGGTAGACTAGCTTACCAATTCGCGATCCTCAGATCATGTGCTGTTTGCGAAAAACGTGGTATCGCACGTGTGTCGGACGTGTCGGCGACCGCGGCGGCAGAACAAGAAGGCGAAGCGCGTTTCGAAAGCCGCGACTCCGAACCAAAAAAGGAAGAAAATCAAGACAGTCAATACACACAGAGTCTTTCGCGATCGGTTCTCTGATTAAAAAACCCAACAACTTTGCATAGACAGATCAACCTGTTCACAGCGGGCGTGAGCTCAAGGTGGACCTGAGCGAGATGAGAGGACAAGGAGTCAGGTGACGGATCCTGAAGGTTTATCTATCTTGGGAGCAGCGACAAGGAGGGGGGCCAGGCAAGCTTGGGCCAATGAGCGGCGCCAACGGGGAAGGTGTGGGATTTTCCGGGTGCACGGACCAATCTCTACTGATGCAGTAGCGCAGACACCTTCGTGACTGTGTACCTTCAGCTTACAGGACAGAAAACCGCACGCCTACACCTCGACGGGGAAGAACCTCCACCATTGCCGGACAGGACCCCAGACTCTCCATTGAATGTTGAAACTCGCCGCTGTCGAATCAGAGGAGCGCCTCGTAGCCACCAGAACTCGCTGCCCTCTCGGTCAAACAAGAGGCGCATCATGACCTGCCCAGTTCCAAGGTTGTCATGTTTGCCAGCCTTGAGACAGAGATGCAAGCTGTAGGAACCTACAGTAAAGGCAGATGAGGGTTGATCTGTCTTTCGGCCTTGTTCAGTTCAGTCACCTGCCAACCAGGACACACAGTATGACTCCCGACGCCACCGGTTGAGTTGACGAGGCTGTGGGCTGGGGGGGTTGTGGACTTGTATGTTGGCTGCAATTCCTCCCTCATGCACACCAAGGCACCCAATATGACCTGTAGCTTTTACTCCCTTATCACCATCTACACAAACCACTCTGTGCCTTGCCTAACTAGGTGATGTACGTCGTACTCGGCCGAGGCTTCCTGGTAACCGGTCGCCTTGCTCATGTAGGCGACCCGTAGACCCTCAGATCGAACGGGGGCAACCTTGCCTCAACCTTGCTGCTTGCTGCTGCATTGCATCGCGTCCGCATCAGCTGCTGCAAAGCCGCTTGTTTGTCCATCGACGGACTCGTCGTAATCCGCTGGGCTTGGCTTGACAGACAGTAGAAGCCCCCCCATCCATAAACTGTGTGATACTGTTTCACAAAGGTGCTCATTCCCTATGTCAAGTGATCTGGAGAGTGGCCTTGCCGACTAATCAGCCCCCACCTTCCCAAGGATCCCTTGACCCCTCTAGACTGCGTGTGTGGCACGCCATACCTCAGCCATCACCTCAGAATAGTCTGCCGGCAGGCACATCTGTGTACCTCCCCACGGCAACATATCGTGGCTCTGTTGTTTGACAGGATGGTAACCGGTGAGAGCCGCTAGTATCATTTGGTCGTCTGCTCAAAGAGTACCTTGGATTAAATGGGAGCCAATCGAGCAGGTGCGAGAGCCTAAGAGCACACCCCGCCGTGGCGATATAGAAACCTCAACTGCACCTCTGAAGCTTTGATCCAACTGCACATGGTCAAGCGGGACTTCACAACTGCAGCACACTCTCAGTTTGCCTCAGAGCGCGCAGAATAGCCAACATGGGGGACCATACAATATCTAAGATTGACCATGCAAACCATCTTCTTCTTGTAAGCCATGGCGACTCTTCCTATTCTAAACCTCATCTCCCGAAGAGCGGGAAGAACGACGTCATTGACAAGCAATCTCATCTCTCAATCTAGGACCAACCACTCCTCCGACTCCCATATGAACTCCTGCGGAAGAATTTTCGCTCTGCGCACTTCACAGTCGAGCACGGCAGCAGCGCCGTCAAGAACCTGCTGAAGACGACGGCGACAGGTGCCCTTAATGGCCGGTCCTCGCCCGACGATGTTGTCAAGAACCTCGACACCATGATCGCCCGCATGCGCGGCATCAAGCGAAAGTTAGCCGCCTGCGCCGATGAGGAGGCCCGTCTCTACCGCCAGGTTGGCGCCCGCGCTACACACCTCGGCGATTTGGCTCGCATGCACACCCTCGACGATGTAGCATACGAAGGATGGAGCCGTCGACGTCTAGACCGTTTGCTTGTCGACTATCTGCTACGGCACGGCTACAATGACAGCGCCAAAGCTCTAGCTAAAGAGAGAGATATGAACGATCTGGTCGATATCGAGACGTTTGTGGCCATGAGCAAGATCAGGGACAGTTTGAAGGCCGGGAGCGTGAAGGAGGCGTTGGACTGGTGCACAGATAACAAGAAAGAATTACGGAAGATGGACGTAAGTTTTTCTGTACCCTATAACGTCGATCGTTAGGAACAACAAGGGAAGACGCTGATTCTTTGGCCAGAGCAATCTCGAGTTCCAGCTTCGATTCCAGCAGTATATCGAGCTCGTGCGAACACAGCAGCAGAGCAAAATGCTCGAGGCGATCATCTTCGCCAAGAAATTCCTCGTGCCTTTCAAGGAGTCGTTCCCGCGCGAGGTCAGCCAGGCGGGCGCGCTGCTCGCCTTCCCGCCGGACCACGCGGGCCGCGAGTACCGCGACATGTACAGCCCGGAGCGGTGGGGGATGCTGGCCGACATCTTCACCGAGACGCACAACGCCCTGCTGGCCCTGCCCTCCTTCCCGCTGCTGCACATCGCCCTGTCCTCCGGCCTCTCGGCCCTCAAAACGCCCGCCTGCCACTCCTCGCACCCCAGCTCGTCCGCCACCCCTAGCCACTCCACCTCGCTCACCACCTCCGTCTGCCCCATCTGCTCGACCGAGCTGAATCAGCTGGCACGCAACGTGCCCTACGCCCACCATAGCAAGAGCCACGTCGAGCACGACCTGATGCTGCTGCCCAACGGCCGGGTGTACGGCAAAGAGAAGCTGGAGGAGTATGCCAAGAAGGCAGCCCTGCCGGACGGACAAGTCAAGGATCTACGGACCGGAGAGGTGTATTCTACGGACAAGATGAAGAAGGTATTCATCACATGAGCATGGCCGACCTATCCTTTGTATCATCACCTTCTGCGATCGCAATTTGCATTTCACCATAACGATTCAGGACCTTCTCAGCGTACGGAGCACGGCATGGAAACGGAGTTCTGGACAGGGTTGGCTGTTTTACTTTTACGGGTCTTTAGATTGATCCAGCCTCGTCTAACACATACGCAATAGAATGAAACGAAGAAATAAATCAACGTGTGTGGAATGGGCTCGTTGCTTAGATTCGTCATACAGCCCCTATCTTAATATTCACGAACCACTACCCCTTAGTGAATCACGTAACAATACTACAATACACTGGGCCATCCGCTGCCGAAGGCCAGAACGTCCGCCGTTTGACTCCCTACAATCGAGTGTACCTGACAAAGTTTAAAGCAACCGCCGATTTTCCTAACTCCGTACGTTGCCAAAGTGCAGGAGTACCAAACCGTCATTGATGAGACCCGATACCCCTAGCGCTTTTATTTCCATTAGAAGAATGTCTGAACAAGTCCAGCAATGAACCACGTAGGCTGTCTATCTTCCACTGCCTGCGAAGGCAAAGTTGCCAAAGACACCGCCGCCTCCGCCAGGAGTCATGGGTCCCATGTTCATACCATTGGTGTTATGTGACTGGGCGGCAGGCGTGGTGACGAGGCCGACAGTGCCGGTATTCGGAGTGCTTGGTGCTCCGTTCTGCATGCCTGTGCCGTTCTGGTTGGGTGGTGTGTTCTCGAGCGTCGAAGCATCCCTCATGCTCATAACAGTGGAGATGTCAGGGACGCCAAGCCCCCAGACCTTGCCAAGATGCTCATCTGGAATCTCGCCGTTGAAGATCTTGTCTCTCATCTGGAAGAAGACCTTGCCGGTAATCAACGAGTCAGAGCCAGCTTGGTGGGCTGATCCCACGCGCTTGATCTTAAGAGCCTCTGCAATATTCTCGAGTCCAGATTTGTGCTCGAACTTCTGGAGGACTTCCGTGCTACTGGGATCACCAGGGGTCAGGAGGCCAGAGTTGTGCAGCTTGATAGCGTGCTTCATTAAGTGCTTGACGTCGTATGTGCTGGGGAAGTAGAGTTTCATTAACTGATCAAACTCCACTTCGTCGTTGGGCAGCTGCTTGCAAATGAGCAGCTTTGTAAGATAGCCGAAGTCGTAGCCACCATGGAAAGATATCCATCTGACATTTTCAAAGCAGACCAGGCCAGAGGGAATGAGGAGGGAAGCGAATTCATGTGGGTCGATGCCATCTCGCTCCAGCAACTGGAAGTCAATCCCCGCTTGCTGTAGAGACTCGATCGAAGTCTGGTTGAACATGTCGTCTTTGAGAGAGAATTTGAAATTGAACTGCCAAGCATAAGGGAGCGGCCCCTGACTTGCCATTCGCCTAGCCGCAAGTCCCTTATCCATAGAATCTGCCGAGTTCGGTCTCGCGGGCGGGGTCTCTCCATCTTCGTTGAACAGGGTGATGCCTATCTGGATGACTTTGAGCATGTCCACATTCGTCCGTAGACATTGGTAATGGTAGTCGCTCTTTCCTCGGAATCCACCCATTGGCCGTGAAACCACACCCGGGAACTCGGTATCCTGTGTACGTCAGAAATTACGCCCATTTCAGCATTGGCTGAGTTTCAGCCTCACCATCGCAATGTATGGATATTTGTCCACCAGGTCCCTCAGGATGGCCATCTCCTCGTGCAGGTTATGCTTCCACACCTCTCGTATCCTTCCCTTTGTCTGATTACGTCCGCCATGCTCGCCCAGCACATGACCTTGCTGTTGCGCATGCTGCTGTTGCTGGAGACTCGCCCCATGTGCAAAGCCCATGCGCGCAGCATGGCTCGCGAGGCCACTGTCTGCTCCTACACCAAATCCTCCACCTCCATTAAGACCTCCTGCTAGGCTTAGTACGTTGCCATTTGCGGCGAAGGGGCTGATCTGCGGGTTCGGGTTGAGATACGACGGGTTGCCCCCCAGCTGGGGGTGGCTTCCAGAATGACCCGGTGCGTGACCGGGAAACTGGTGCTGGTAGGGAGAGATCGTATTCGGTCCACTCTGGAACCTGTTCAGCTGCGGAGGCATGCTATTTCGTCCAGATTGGTGAAGCTTTCCGTATTGTAGGTATTGAGGGTGTGGTATCTCGGAGGTGAATGTAATCAAGCATGGGTAAGCGAAGTCGTAAAACGAGCCGCCGAAGGCCGCTTGGGGGATAATATGGATGAGAGAAGCTGGGGCAGTATCGCTTCTGAGCAAAAATTGTCGCGTATGCTTTTCGTCGTGGAATTTAACGTCTGTAAAGTCGAGGTGTCGAGGAGAAAAGGTAGTCGAGTGACATCGATGGACGGAAGCAGCTGGCAGCGGAGAGACCCACTTTGACTCTCCCTGGTGGTTAAAAACAGAACCAATCAGGACCTTCCTCAAAGTCCGGGCCGATATTGATCCCACCTCATCTTCCTTTGCGCTAAGCCGAGCAGCACCACGCGCAACCGAGTGCGAAGACTCCATCTTGCGCGCTGTAGATGTCAATTGGCAGGTCAATTGGTCCTTCAAGATGCGCCCAACTCGGTGAGTTCTCTTTGAAGAGCATTCGTATCTACTCTGCCGAGTTTTGCAGAGCTATCACTGACGAAAAGTCGTTCGTTTTCTACAGGGTTTTAGGAGCCTACCGGCATGGCGAGCAGCCGAACATCACGGGATTCGACATCAAGAAGCTCAGAGAGGCAGCAGGAACACCAAGATATGATCCTTGGGAGAGGGCGTTAGTCATATGAGCTTTAAATTCTGCAATGGGTTGGCAAGCTAACGTGATTGCAGCGAGGCATGGCGATACACAGGACTCTTCAGCCGATGGAACCGATTCAAGCGTGGATTCCCGGGTCTGGGTATAGCGACAGTGGCTTTCGCAGGGTACTGTGCGTATGAGCACTTCTTCCTGAAGGACGAGCATCACGGAGAAGGGCACGGAGAGGCACATCATTGAGCTACTAGGAGCCGACCTGGTGGTTCCACTGTACATAATAGATCGCTATATCTGCCTCTGGCAACAGGCATTGGGTCTTCAAGGGAAAATATTCTTTCGCCGACTACTATGTGCTCAATCTCCCATACTATCGGTGCCCTCCTGTTTGGGTGACCACCGATACCTTGCCCTGCACTCTTTTCGGCTGGGAACCAAAGACAACTTTCTGTCCGTTATGAGCCCTCGAACAACAATCGTACAGCAGGATAACAGGATGCACAGTAGTCAATTGCCGGGCCATAGACAAGCGACCGGGTTATCAACGGCAGCAACCTATAGCGAGCTATCATTTCACCATTAGCAACGTCCCTTTACCTTGGTTGATTAACGTGTCCAGGAGATGAGAAGAATAGCAAGTATAGCTATAAGAAACCCCGATGCATCGTGACTCGGAGCAGTCTTATGTGAAACCCCTATGCATCAATAGTTACTAAATTTCCCTCCCCCGGTAATGGTCTATGTGATCTCCTAGTGCACTCTGCAGGAAATAAAAGGTGCTGGGTAAGACCTGCAATGATGCACCTAGGACAAGGCCTGCTGGCTATCGTCTTCTTCAAAATGCAAGATAACAAGCCCCCAGTTGAGAAAGTCTTGTAAAAATGGGGAAAGTTGATGTCCAGACTTGCAGCTGACTTGCCTTTACTCATCCCAGTGCAATCACAATTGCACAAGACACTGTCATTTGTTCGGGGCTGTTGGAATGTGGCCTGCTTGAGCACTATGGGCATTGTCTCATAGTGGGCCTCTCAAATGGCTGTGTAGAGAAGCGGGACCCTGCAGGTTTGCCGGGCCAACCCCCTGCCGCAGCAGTCTACAATACCTGAGGTATGACGAATGCAGGTTGTGTGTATTCTTGTTTCGCACTCGTGGCACGCCTCGATCCTGTTGTTATTTTCCCACTTCAAGTTTCTATTGATTTCTCGCATGCCAGATTGTTCAATGTAGAAGGCAGGCAGGCAGGCAGGCAGGCAAGCAGACAGAGATCGAAGACCAGCATCTTTGCAGGAGGGTTCTTTGCATAAACACCACCATACAAGCAAGGCATTTCCAACCTTCTCGGGCTACCTCCCACCAGCCGTCCTCCAGACCCTGGTTCTACAGCTACAGCTACAGGGTGCTCGTCCGGCATTGATCAACAAACGCAATCGGCTTGCGTGCACACCACCGCCGCAGCCCGTTCAGTCAACCCGACATTCAGCTCAGCTCGCCGACCGAAATCGTGGAAAGGGTGTGTATCCTGCGGCCAGCCACCTGTCAAAGGACCCCGCCTCATCCGCCTACCTACAAGCACCGCATTGCGGTAGTGCATCTGCACAGCTATCACAAGCCGAATATTGATTCGCTCTTGTCAATAGAGAGACCCTGGAAGCTGCAAGAGCAACCACCTGCTTTTGGCCCGCCACCCGAGACACACCAGCAAAGGCCGAGAACCATCTCGCTCAAACTCAAAAAAACCCTCGTTCGGTCTCTCCTAGCTGCCTCTCCGTTGAGAGAATAAATCTGCAGCACAGCTAGACGAACTTTGTTTCCCTGTGCCTGAATCGAAAAGCCACTCCCGCCAATCCACTGTACTACCTAGGTACGGGGATCTCCTCAAGGGTAATTGGACCCCACTAAACAAATCATCCGCGACCAACGACCAGCCCGCTGGGGATCGTAGTCCTGGCTTAGCCGAAACGCATTAATCGTCATGCTAAGGGATAGGGGGAACACCACCGCCGCGTCTTCTGGCGGTGGTGCTGGTGGGAATGCCTGTCATGACCCGCCGGCGTCAGCCCAGAGTCCGTCGACGTGCCAGACTCCCCCGTCCGATGGATCTCCAACAGGTGGTGTTGTTGCTCCCCAGGTCGAGAGCGGACTAGCACCTGCTCCAGTCGAGCTCCAGGCTTCGTACAACACGCCGCGCAACCTACAAGAATACAGCAGTGCCTACTCTTCCTCCTACGCAGATGCGAGAGACTCGCCCTCCTCGCAGCAGACGCACAGCCGGCAGCAACCGTTTCCGAACCTGCTGCCTCTCAACATCCGAACGAGACTGCCCTCGCCAGAGCGGAAGCAGACACGGCCATCGACAAGCGACGAGATGCCACTCACCGGAGACGGCACCAAGGGGAGGGCTTCTGAGAGCCCCATGGGAAGAATAGGCGGGTTTCTATCAGGCATGTCCGGGTCTCCAGGTCGGTCGGAGGGAGGCTCTCCGGTGGCGCACCTGTCACCGTCCCCGTCAGCGTCACCGGCACTCTCACGACACGCAACACCAGACACGACGCCCACGAGGCCGAAGAAGAGCCAGACCGGCGGCATGGAGTCACCCACGCCAAAAGGCAGCACGACGCCGGGCCAGTCGCGCTTCGCCTTCTTCACCCAGACGCTGTCCCGCCTCACGCAGTCGCCCACGAGCGCGACCATGGACGACGAGCTGCTGAGCATGAACGTCGAGGCGGCGCTGTTCCCTGGCGGCCCGCCCACGGAGCGCGACACCTTCTCGCCGTCGGCGTTCAAGAACCTGCAGGCGAACGCCACCGGCCTGCTGCATAAGATGCAGGGGGCCTACCGCCAGCGGACCGCCGCCCTGCGCGACATCGAGGCCGAGAGGGAGGCCCAGCGCGACGAGCTGGAAGAGGCGGAGACGCGCGCAAAGCACCTCAAGATGCAGCTGGAGGACATGGCGCGCAAGGCGGCCGACCACGAGAGGGACATGAAGCGGCTGATGGAGGACCTCATTGCGGAGAAGAAGGCCAGGGCCGAGGAGAAGGAGCGCATGGCCCGCGAGAAGGGCCTCGCCGTCGCCATGTCCGAGGGCTCGACCGTCTCCGAGGACCTTGGTGTGGACGAGGAGCAGCGGAGACAGGGCTGGCGGAAAAGCGCCGAGACGATGAAGTCCGACATGAGCTACGACACCGATGACGACAGCGTTGAAGTCGAGAGCGTCTTCTCGCGCTCGCGGAGCCCGACGAATGCCCCGAGTGCTTACGAGGGCAGCGTTGCGGATGGTCCGACTTCTCGACCCAAGGCGGCGACCCTGTCACCTCCGAAAGCGAGGGGAGGCCAGCAAATGACAACCTTCCAGAAGCTCATGAAGAACATCTCCGGAGAGCCATTGAGGGAAGGGGACGAATATGTAGGCGCTGGCTGCCGGAACTGCAAAGGCCAGGATGCTAGCGTTGCATGGGATACCGTCAGCCTCCTGAGGGATGAGAACAAGGCGCTCAAGCAGCGAGTTGGGCACCTGGAAGTCGCTGTCGAAGGGGCTCTGGACATGGTGAATGGCATTGGCCTATGATGTGCGTTGAGCCCAGGGCTTTGGGCGGTCGGCATCATGACGTGAATTGGATAAATTAGACTGGCATTTCACGGTTCCCAGGTTTGGGGACATGACTGCATATGAGAATGGAAAACATAGACACTAGGCCCACCACCGTAACGTCTTGCAATAGACATACCCGTTTGTCTGATATACAATCTGATGTGATACTTCGAAATGAGAATCGTGCAAAAAAGGTCTCTTAATGATCTTTGAGTGTTTGTTAGTATTAAAGTCACCCTGTTCACATTTGCTACGATGAATCACAATGAAGTATAGGAAAATTATTTCATTTTCCTAACTCTTAAGGCAAGCCTCGAAAAGAAGCTCTCGTGCCTCGCTGTCCTCCGTGACTATAAGTGACTCGGGCTTGACCATAAATAAGCCTCTCGAGCCAGGGGGCCGATCATGCATTTATTCACCCGCTCCACTCCACACCAGCCCAGACACATACATCCCGCCCACGGCATGTATACCTGTCGGGGATGAACACAATTGTTTGGCATACCGCCTGACTAACACCCGGGCTCTGGTGGTTGATAAAGTCAACCGTGAAAACCCCTTGTACCGGCACGCCATCGCCTTTCGTTCGAGTAGTAAAACCGTTCGCCCGCTGGAGCAGTATCATATCGCCCGATGAAAGGGGCTAATTACGGTGTTCCAGGGACTGAGTCGCTGTCATGCCGAAGAGACATGTACTGATCACTAAGCAGATCCCGCCAGACATAAAAGCACTTTTAGTAGAACGACTCCACCATCGTGTCCTTCATGTTGGTGTTGATATTGCTCGGGCCAGCGCCCTCGCCGAGACGGAAGACGCTCTCGATAACGCTGAGCTCGGTGGCCGTGGTGTCGAGGCCCGTGACGGCGAGCCAGTCGTTGACGACCATGCCGCCGCCGACGACGTTGCTGCCGCGGTTGACGGAGCCGGCGACCAGCGGCACCTGCAGCAGGCTGGAGAGCTCGTCCTGGTCCTGTATCGAGGTCTTGGGGTGCACGAGGCCGCCCTGGTTCGACAGCGCCATGTAGCTGCCGACCAGGACGTTGTCGGCGACCGTCTGCCGGAAGACCTCGACGCCGAGCACGTCGGCGATGATCTCCTCCGTCTCGCGCTCCAGGTCCGGGTGGACGAGCGCGATGTGGTCGTTAGCGACAATGACGTTGCCGAGCGCTGATAGCCGCTCCTCTATCCTCTGGATCTTGATCTCGTCTGGTAGGCTGTTCCGCAGATGCTGCAACTCCTGGTCTGTGGTGCTGGTGGGTACTAGGAGGCCCTTACGGTTGCTGTGTGAGACCATGTCAGCTCGATTCGTTGCGCCCGTACTGCCTCCTCGATACGTCAAGGAACCTTGCTCCTAGGCAGTCCAATAGAGTCTCCAAGACAAGACGGCCGAGGGGAAATCGTGCGTGCTTACCCAGCTGTTAACCGGCCGACGATGCGTGTGCCGGCGATTGTGGTCCTGCAGATGGGGATGACATCCTGCAGCTCGGCCTCGAAGACACTGTAGAAGTTCTCGCTAGCGCCAATGGCGACGAGGGCGTATGAATTGGTGAGCGTCGAGAAGACGCCGACTCTGCGCGCGGAGACGTGTGTAAGCCCAGAGGATGTCCGACTCAAAAATCATCGCGGGGTTCTCATAGTGGGGTCAAATGCTCACTCGTTGGAGTTCTCAAATTGTGCTCGCACAGCCATGCTTGCGGGTATCTCGAGGGCTGTTCCTCCGCTAATGGCTGAAAGGTTTTAAGGGGAGGTTTAGGAGGAGATAGCACTCTATGTGAGAGTGCTTCTGGTCGTCTGGGAATGTGTTGCGCTGCTGGCTGGGTCGATTGCCTTGGTGGTTGGAAATTTTTGCGGGAGGGAAAGCTCTTGACTTTATTTGCCTTCGGTGGGCCTGACGTTCGTCAGTCCGTCCACACCCTACCTGTGGCCAGCGGGGGCGGGGCAATTTCCCATCTGCTTGGTAAGGTTTCTTCTTGGTGCTGGCTGGCGGGCACTAACTAGGAAGAGTCAGCAGGCGGGCTGGCTTGCAATATTCTGGCCCGATGACTCAATGACACTGCAGAAACAATTTCTCTTGGGTGATTTCGCTGAGCACCGCCACTGGTTGGTGACTCTTCACTTGCATCGCTTCTCGAAACCCACTGGGAGCAAATACAGCATTTTCATTCTGATGAACTATGATGTCTATCGTTAGCGCGCTTGACCTCACATCCCATTGGGCTCGGCAATAACCAAGTGACTGCCCCCTGTCTTGCAATCATATCAAGCATCACCCATCAGCCTTGTAGGTGCTGGGGATGGTCCTTGATAACCTTTCTAAAAGACTCTGCATTTCTTTTCCTATCAATCATGTAATAGCTTGAGCTCCTATGGCACAAGATCGCTAATTGATTGGTGCTGAATGTCTGTAGCTAGCCACCTAATGTATCTTGCTACGAGAGCGGAAGAGAAGAAGGCCTTCGATGTAGGTGTATAATATGCCCGTGGAAACTGTATAACCTTTGATAACGCCACTATTGCAACCATGTAGCACATATCATACCATAACGCATTAAACTCCATAAATGCATTCCACGGAATTCCACGCAAGACCGGATATCAATGTGCCTTCGTGCTGGTCCCGAGGTACCGCTAGTCTTGCCTGGCGTGTCCGCTTCCACATAGACGCTCCTTCACGTCTATCATGCTTCTCATCGTAGCTCTACCGACGGAAAATACCGTGGTCCAGCAAAGCCCTTCGCAATAACGCCTTGGATATCAATATTCCCCGTAGGGTCGTGGTGCGGACTCCACATCTTCAACAGTATGAACCTGCCTGATACGGGCGGGTCGAACTTGATCGTGCACTTGTTCTTGTCCTTCTCAATGTTGAACTTGGCGTGAGGCGCCATCAGCTCCCCTCCCACCGCTCGTACCGCCTCCTGCGTAGCCAGCTGCGACGCCTCGGCAGCTTCAGCCAGCGTCATGCTCTCTCCCCGCCGGTAGCCCATGGGCGCTATGTCCTCGAACGAGGCGTACTCGTACGGCGCAAAGGGGTTTCCGTCCTCGCTGCTGTCGCTCTCAAAGGGCAGCGCCCCGATGCGGTTCGGCGTCCTGCGCCTCACTCTTGGCGCCGTCTCGTCCTCGTCCTCGCTGCAATCTGACGTTGTGGTTACACGGAATGGCGGTGGTGCAACCGTGAATTCCGACGGGATCTGGGCTGTCCTAAAGTCCTCGTCCTCGTCCATGCCGGTGATGTACAGCCTCCGCTGCCGCATCTGAGCCCTCGTCATTGAGCCATCCTCGTGGTGGTGTATCGACATGATAGATGCTAACGCTCTATTATCTCTGTCTGAATTGGACCTGCCTCCCCTAGTAGGCTGATACTGTATCTGATACTGCGCTGTTCTTGAGAGCAGATCATCTGAACTCATGGAGATGAATACCATCCCCTCTCGTACGCTGTGTATTTGTCAGTGTTACGTTCACTTGGGTATATTTTATACATTGGAACTCACGGGGATGAATAATTGGACCCAGGGGCCTTGATAATCAACTCCTTCAGGCTGAAGACTGTGGCACCCTGGTGTCTGAGAACGACGTTACACCTATTGCCCTTGGTGCAATAAACGGAGTTGTCGTTTTTCAGTATATTCTCCGCGGCATAGCAGCTCTCGTTGCTGTAGAGGCCTCCGTCACAACTGACGAGCTCCATCGTAAGCTGGCCAGGCTCAACCTGGCCATACCTCCCATATCGAAATCCCTTATAATGAGACCCAAGTCTCTCAGAGTCAAGTTTTCGTCGCTTGGCTCGACGGCTGTCTTCGGCATGTTCTAGGGGCTGAAGGGGAGGCGATGCAAGAGAAGGCCCTAGTGGGGACATAATTGGATTGTTGGTTGTAAAGTCGAGCAGGGCCCGTAGGTGTGAGTTGGCGTCTTCCAGTGTGTGATCCAGATCCTCAAAGCTTGGATTGCTGCTACGAGGGTCGGCAGAGGTGCGGTATCTATCCAGGTACCTGTCATATCTGTCGCTAGGTCTGTACCGGCTTGGACGGCCAGAACCGCCTGGACCGGACATTGTAGGCGCCCTCCTCGAACCAAGCGATCGCAGTGAAGGGAGCGAGGGTGTACCGCTGGAGCTCAGGCCAGAGTACGGCGGTGCAGAGTCTGTATTCCTATCCTGGGGTTCTCTGGAGAACCTGCGCTGGAGATCCCGCGTGGGATCCGAGGACATAGTGGTCCTGGACGACGTCGCCGCGTGGTTGTCGTCCTGATGCCGGCCAGTGTTGGTCTGGTGGAATCGCTCTATCGCTCTGAAAAGTTCTCCAGAAGGGCTGACCTCGGCGTCCGGCGGACGGTCATCGAGGATGGACCGTACTATTCGGTTGGCGTGTCGATATCGCTCTTCAGCAGCCTGGCTCTGTCCCCGCGCTTCCTCTGTTCGTTGTCTCTGCTGTTGCAAGCTGTCCTGTAAAAGCCGATTGCGCTCCACCGCTATGCGGTATCGTTCCTCGTAGATCTGCCTCCTAGCGTTATGTATCACCTCTTCGGCGGGCGGTGCGTTAGGAGGGCGGCGCGGAGGGCCAGGATCCTCAGACTGACAAGATGGTACGTTAGAATATGAACCCAGATAAAAAGATGAGGCAGCAATCGGGGGGCGACAAGTCTAACCACGTAGGCGGAGTTGACAAGTTGTGAAGGCCAGTTAGAAGGCTTGCAGCGGTCGAGTCGCTCGTGGCGGAGGGGCAATGTCGGGATACAGCGAAAGGCTTCGAGGGCCAAACTCACCATGAAGCGACAAAGAAGGACCAGTGGATAGAGGTGTGACAAAGAGATGCACACAAAACAGTCGATAGTCTTAAGAAGAACAACCTGCACTTAGAAGCAGATTGATTGCAGTGAGAGGATGACACTGGACTGGCGTATTGGGTTGGGAAATCAAGGTTGAAGGGACGTAGGTAGTCTAGTTACGCTGGGAGAGTGAAGAGGGGATGTTGGGATTGGGTGCAGTCCAGCGATGGCGTGGGCGGCGGTAGACTGATGGTCACTACAGGTGCGTGCAAGGTTGGAAGGTCAGGTAGGTAGGTAGGTGGCTTTGCTCAGACAAAGGCGCATTGCTCGCTCTTTTCAGCACACCGGTCAGCGGGGGTCTTGTTCATCCATATAATCCATCCACCCTTTCATTCATTCATTCAATTCAAGTCAGTTTATGTACGGTCCTTTAAAGAGGCGGGCCCAACGAGGTAGCAGCTCAAAGGCAGGCCAGTCTAAGAAAGGCCTTGTGATCCAGTCCTAGGGCAATCCAGAGCATACATAGGTACATCATGGATGGCAACTGGCAACGGCCACAATGTCTCCGTAGAGGCGAAGTAGAGTATTCCATCAATCTTACGGCTGTCAAACCGGTTATCGGATAGAGACCGCAATGAGACTTCTACCAAAGCAGTTCGTGCTCCGAAAGGGTGGGAAGGACACCCCATCGCCTACCTACAGGGCTATAAAGGCACAGTACAGTACGGTACAGTACAGTGGCATGATTGCCCTGGCTGAAGTTGTGCACTTTGTGTAAATCGAGTGAGGGGGGACTTTTTGCTGTCTGCTCCGCATTCTCTTCCCTTCGTCACATACCTGGACGGTTTTCTCTAAGTCTACCTACCTTAGCTATGTAATGTGCCCAGGTGTGTAAGTGCAGGGGCGGAGAGAAACTCCCAGAGAAATTGTTATTGAACAACTGATGACCTCATCGGGTTTTGGTGGGGTGAAGGCTCAGGTTGGGAGGAAGAGGAAGTACCTCTTAAACTTGCCGGAGCACAGGTCCAGGGGCAGTCCTAGCTGCAGGCAAGAAACGCGACCTCGTTTTAGTGGCCGCCCGTGGCACTACCTACCTTAGGTTCCTAGCTCACTTTCACTTACCCGGACCTGGGAGACCAACAGACAAATGTCGTGCCTGGCATTTGCCGTACGTACCTCAGAGCTATCAAAGCTGATAACTACCTAGTTATTCATTACCTGACGTTTATCTCACAGACATCGTGTCGCCGCCATCACAACGCCTCTCCCTTATCCACGACATACCTGCGACACCATTGTTCTCTAAGAGAGAGCGACTGCTGCCTGTAGCATTTGCGGTGGGACTGCAGCTCGGGGCCCGTAATCCTCACCGAAAAGTCTCAGCTGGGCCTCAGCCTTGCGATTGGCCTGAAAATCCGATACGTTGTCTGAGGCGCTCACAGGCGAAAGTCAACAAACACGGGAGCCTCAGTCTCATCCGATCATCTCAATTAATCCCGGCATCTTTCGTCGCACCTTCTCCGCCGGCATATGATTAGCTGGGCCCATCTCACCGTCCGAGCTTGAGGTCCATTCTCACTTTCAGCAGCCTCCCTTCGTCATCATACGGAACTCTTCGACCAACTCAAAATGGATTCGGCAACTTCAGACCAGCAGCCAAACCCTCAATCAGGGGAAGCGGCCCCTGCTCCAGCACCAGACCAGGCCGTCCCAACGACTCTACCCGCTCAAGATCAACAGCAGCAACAGCCAGTTGAACAGCCAGTTGGGGTGCTTCCTGACCAACAAGATCTGACCATGCAGGCGGACTTCACCTCGCTGCAAAACGCCATCTTTCCTCCTGGTGGCCTTCTACCTCCGGAGGCCTTAATGCACATGCAGCAATTGATGCCTATGCCCATGGCCCTGGATGCCAACGGTCTCCTGCCAGTAATGCCAGGCAATGATATTAGTGCCGGTGAGTCTCGGAACAGTCGCTTTGTTGGGCAACAACTGACCCAGCCATAGATGAAATTGAGCTCTATGACCGCCAAATACGCCTCTGGGGTATGCAAGCTCAGCAGAAGATCCGGAATGCAAATGTCCTACTTATCACAATGAAGGCCCTGGCTAATGAGATCGCGAAGAATCTCGTGTTGGCCGGCATCGGTTCACTAACCATCGTAGATCACGAGACTGTAACCGAGGCTGATCTAGGTGCTCAATTCTTCCTCTCTGAGCAGGATGGTCATCTTGGCATGAACCGGGCAGAAGCTGCTCTCCCACAAATACAGAAACTGAACCCCCGAGTCAAAGTCCACATTGACAAGACGGATATTCGTTCCAAGGGTCCCAGTTACTTTGGCGTCTACGATGTCGTTATTGCAACAGACCTTGACCCAGATACGCTCAACGTTGTCAACACGGCAACACGAGTCAACGGTCGCTACTTTTACGCAGCAGGGACTCACGGCCTCTATGGCTTCATCTTTGCTGACTTGATCGAGCACGATTTTGTTATCGAGCGCGCCAAGGGAAACGTCACAACTGAGCTGAAGCCCGAAACCAGAACTCGCCTGATAGTAGGCGTCAACACCAAGAAAGAAGACGGCAAGACGATCGAGATGGTGACTAAGCGCGAACTCTACAGCACCTGGTTCCTCGCCAGCGACACGGCGTACCTACCTGACGAGTACAAGAAATCCAAGCGGCGCCTCAAGGCGGTGACCCCCGTCTTGCCATGCCTACGTGCACTGTGGGAGTTCCAGCAGGTCAACAACAGCCGCACGCCACATCATACACCTCAGGACCTACAGCAGTTCACACGTTTGGCAACACAGAAGCACAAGGATCTTGGCCTACCAGCCGAGACGCTGCGCTCCGATTTTCTGCGCAGCTTCCTCCAGAACATCGGCAGCGAGATAGCCCCAGTGACGGCCATTCTCGGTGGCCAACTCGCGCAGGACGTCATCAATGTATTGGGACAGACGCAGCAGCCCATTCAGAACATGGTCATCTTTGACGGCAACACCATGGAAGCCACCATGTATCCTTTGCATCCCGAGGGGCCGCTCGGTGCACAGCTATTGTCTATGACTGCGCCCACCGTCGGTGTGGGCATGAACGGAGATTTGGGCATGCTAGACGCTTCGATGCTAGCTGGCATGCCACCTGTGGACCTCACGGGCATGGTAGATTTCTCTGCAGTTGCAGCTGGTATACAACCCCAGGATCCCGTGCAACAGCAGCAACAACAGCAGCCTCCTCCAGCGGCTTGAGTCTTAGATGATGCGGGCAACTGCACTTTATTCTGGCTAGGGATTTGAGAGTGACCAGAAACTCTCAATGATTTTGTAAAAGTTTGGGCTGGTCAAAATGTACATTACTTAGATACCTCAAATGCGATGATGAGATGCTATGATCTACTAACTTGAATTTTTGATGGCCCGTGGAATTGAGAATGTATCGTTCTCTTCAACATCTGTTTCGCAAAGTGGCACATAACAGTCCAGATCTCCTATTCCACCTCACAAACCTGCATCTTTCTTTTGACTGACACATCAATCATCTCTGTGACAGATCTAGGCCCGGTCGCAATCGGTAACGACAAGAAGCCCATGGGATTGACAATACCTAGGGAGGTGTTATGCAGGCTGACCGCCTGTGCTGACGCTTGTCCTTTGTTAACTTGACACAAAAGGCTCCAAGCACACAAACGTGTACCTACACCGACAACGTAATCTAACATTCCCTTGAGTTGCAAACCAGAATACACGCCGTTTGACTGACTCGATTTGTGCAAGCCAGGTCTGAGAGCAGAAGTTGTTAGGATTAGTAATTGCGTTTAAGGCAGCCTGTATTCGTCGTCGTCTGCGCAAAGTCGCTAAGGGAGCTAAGAGACATCTTCTCCGAAACCGCCGGGGCTCACTGCGCGCCGCGGGGTCCTGATCTGCCTGGCACACGCCCGGCTCTCGCCAATGAACAGTGTGGGTGGGGGGGGCTGTCGCGCTAGCAATGCATGACAAGTCCAATGGAACTTCAGCGAGCTCCTCCCCAGATAGCAGAATAATTCTTAGTCCTTTACCTTTCAACACCAAAACACCATAACCACCACGGAGGCTCAACTGAATTGGAGCTCTCTCTAAATACGGTGGACTAGTAGGCTACCGGATCAGAGCCAAGTAGAATCAATCGCCATTGACTGACCTGCTGTGGTCTGGCATTCTATTCACCGTAGCCGTGCGTAATCTCTTCTGCCCGCTCGAAGCTGCCACTCTGCCCGCCACCTCGACTCTGCGCCGAACCTTAGCATGATACGGCCTCAATAACGAGCTTCGCCTTGGGAAATGGTCATGCTGTTCAACGACGACCAGTCCCAGAAGGCCATCTTCGAGACCGGCTCCTTCACTGGCTACCGCCCTCTCCTCGAGCTGGGAAGCGGCTATCTCAGCGCAACCGACGACTTCAAGCAGCCGCTATGCGGTAATGAAGAGGGATGGGGGCCTATGAGCCCCTTCCGCTATGACTTCACGCCCTGTTTCATTGACGTGTGGGTCGCGTCTGTTGCGGTACTGCTTGGCATCGTCTGCGGGCTCCTCGCTGTAGTATGGCTTCTGCGCCGTAAGCAGCCAACTGAGATCTCGAAGGATTGGCACTTCTGGACTAAACAGGTGAGCATATATCATGGACTGCTGATGGGACTACCACTGCCCTATGCAATAAACCCCAGCCAATTGAACACTAGCCCATCGTATATACGGTGAAATAGATACTAATATGGTTATTACAGACACTTCTGGTTCTCGTAATCGTGGACTTCGTCACACAACTGGTCATCCAAATAATCAACTACCCCAATATATGGTTCGGCGACTTTCGAGTATGGACGACGGCTCTTACCATCATCTCTCTTTTCGTCGTATTTACAATTCAATGGCTCGAGCATACAAGGCTACGAAACGCCAATGGCGTGGTGCTGTTCTACTGGCTGCTCCTTCTCATCGCCCTCGGTGTCAAACTACGATCCCTTGTGTCTCAGCAGATCTACGACAAGAACTTGCCGTACTTTGTGACATATACCGTTGGCGTGGGGCTATCACTGGTCGAGTTTCTCTTTGAATGGATGTGGCCTAAGAGAGTGAGTGCTTACGAGGCTCTCATTGATGAGGAGGAATGTCCCGAGGAATACGCAACCATCTTTTCACGACTCACATTCTCATGGATGACGCCTCTGATGAAGTTCGGCTACAAGCAATTCTTGACGGAGGAAGACCTCTGGGCGCTTCCGAAGGGCGACACTACCCGTGAGACAGGCCAGAGTTTCGAGAAGGCTTGGGCGCATGAGCTCACCCGGAAGCACCCATCCCTATGGCTTGCTATGTTCCGGGCGTTTGGAGGTCCCTATGCTCTTGGTGCTATCTTCAAGGCAGCGAATGATGTCTCGGCCTTCGTGCAACCTCAACTGTTGCGGTTTTTGATCGCCTTCGTCGCCTCCTATGAGAAAGGCAGAGAGCCACAGCCGGTCATCAAAGGTGCTTCTATCGCACTTGCTATGTTCGCCGTGGCATGTTTTCAAACCTCGATGATTCACCAGTACTTTCAAGTCGCCTTCACGTCCGGAATGCGTATCAAGGCTGGTCTGACATCGACTATATATCGGAAGTCCCTGAAGCTCTCCAACGAGGGTCGTGCCTCGAAGACGACCGGAGACATCGTCAACTATATGGCTGTAGATGCGCAGAGATTGCAAGATCTTACACAATTCGCTCAGCAAGTCTGGTCTGCTCCGTTTCAGATCACCCTCTGCATGATCTCTCTATACAACCTTGTAGGATGGTCTATGCTTGCCGGAATAGGGGTAATGATTTTCATGGTACCTATCAATGGCTTTATCGCACGATTTATGAAGACGCTACAGAAGGAGCAGATGAAAAACAAAGACGGAAGGAGCAGGCTTATCGCCGAAATCATCAACAACATGAAAAGCATCAAATTGTACGCCTGGGGTGCTGCGTTCATGAACAAACTCAACTACATCCGAAACGAGCAGGAACTGAAGACTCTTCGGAAGATTGGAGCAGCTCAGGCGTTTGCCAACTTCACCTGGAGCACTACGCCATTTTTGGTATCATGCCTGACCTTCACCGTCTTCGTGCTCACCCACGATCAACCCCTAACAACGGAGATCATCTTCCCAGCCCTTGCCCTCTTCCAGTTGCTTACCTTCCCACTTGCCGTGTTCCCCATGGTTCTTTCCTCAATTATCGAAGCGAGCGTTGCTGTGGGTCGATTGACTTCTTTCCTGACCGCCGAGGAGATTCAGGATGATGCCGTATTGCTCAGACCATCCGTTGAGGAGACTGGTGAGGAGACGGTTGTAATCAAGGAGGCAACGTTCTCGTGGGATCGTCATGGTAACAAACACGCCCTTGAACACATCAACTTTACAGCACACAAGGGAGAACTCTCTTGTATTGTTGGCCGGGTTGGTGCGGGCAAGTCCTCGTTCCTCCAGAGTATCCTAGGAGATCTGTGGAAAGAACAAGGCGAAGTACAAGTTCACGGCACAATTGCGTATGCTGCTCAGCAGCCTTGGATCATGAATGCAACGGTCAAGGAGAATATCATCTTTGGATATCGCTATGATTCCAACTTCTACGAAAAAACCATCAAGGCATGCGCTCTCTTGGACGACTTCGCCATTTTGCCCGATGGTGACGAGACAGTGGTGGGCGAGCGGGGTATTTCACTATCAGGTGGACAGAAAGCCCGAGTTGCTCTTGCCAGAGCCGTCTATGCCAGGGCAGATATCATCATTCTGGACGATGTCTTGTCGGCTGTAGACTCCCACGTCGGCGCACACATCATCGCCAATGTCCTAGGTCCCAAGGGTCTTCTCGCCTCGAAGACTCGAATCCTCGCAACTAATTCCATTCCCGTTCTCGCTGAGTCTGACTACATTTGTATGCTGCGGGATGGCGAGATCGTTGAGAAGGGTACCTATAGGCAGCTTATAGCAATGAAAGGCCTAGTAGCTGAATTGTGCAAGAGTACTGGTAGGAACGAGTCAGAGCCCTCCTCTTCAGCTGCAAGCCCTAGTGGATCGGACAGCGAGACCTCTACCATCATCGACGCGGATAGCAACCAGACGAAGGAGGAGATGGAGGAAGCGCAAGAGGGCCTGTCAACTCTCCAGCCAATTCGACCCGGACCGCACTCCAAGAAGCCTAAGCAGCGAACGGATAGTATGGCTACCTTGCGTCGAGCTAGCACGGCAAGTTTCCGTGGACCCAGAGGCAAACTACATGATGAAGAGGCACCCAGCAGCAAGACAAGGCAGGCCAAAGAGCACAACGAGCAGGGTAAAGTCAAGTGGTCTGTCTACACAGAATACGCAAAGTCGAATAATCTGGTCGCGGTATTCATCTACCTCTTCACTCTCATTGCGGCCCAGACTGCTCAGATTGGAGGCAGCGTCTGGCTGAAACACTGGGCTGAAGCGAACGACAAGGCTGGCTTCAATCCTGACGTTGGAAAGTACATTGGTATCTATTTTGCCTTTGGAATTGGGTCTGCTGCCTTGACAGTGGTTCAAACGCTCATACTATGGATCTTCTGCTCGATCGAAGCCTCTAGGAAGCTACATGAGCGGATGGCAACGGCGATCTTCCGCTCCCCGATGTCGTTCTTTGACACTACGCCTGCTGGCAGAATCCTAAACAGATTCTCAAGCGACATCTATCGTGTTGATGAGGTCCTCGCCCGTACCTTCAACATGCTCTTCGTAAATCTAGGGAAGTCGGGCTTTACCTTGGGCGTTGTATGTGTTACCGTTCCAGCTTTCATAGCACTTATCATACCGTTGAGTGCTATGTACGTTTGGATTCAAAGGTACTATCTCCGTACCTCTCGAGAGCTCAAGCGGTTGGACAGCGTCAGCCGAAGTCCTATCTATGCTCACTTTCAGGAGTCTCTTGGCGGTCTGTCTACCATTCGGGCATACCGACAGCAGCAGAAATTCGAGCTCGAGAACGAGTGGCGTGTGGACGCCAATCTTCGGGCTTATTTCCCATCTGTCAGTGCCAATCGTTGGCTCGCCATCCGTCTTGAGTTCATCGGTGCAATTGTCATTCTTGCAGCTGCTGGTCTCGCCGTCATCTCCGTCGCGGGCCACAGCGGGCTCACTTCGGGTATGGTGGGTCTAGCCATGTCGTACGCCTTACAGATTACCACATCCCTCAACTGGATTGTTCGTCAAACTGTCGAGGTTGAGACGAACATCGTATCTGTCGAACGTGTTCTTGAGTACGCCCGCCTGCCAAGCGAGGCACCGGAGATCATTGCTCGCAACCGTCCACCTGTTAGCTGGCCAGCAAATGGATCGGTTGCATTCAACAACTATAGTGCCAGATATCGTGAGGGACTTGATCTTGTCTTGAAGAACATCAAGCTTGATATCAAGTCTCACGAGAAGATCGGCGTCGTAGGCAGGACTGGTGCTGGCAAGAGTTCTTTGACACTGGCACTCTTCCGCATCATTGAAGCCGACAGTGGTCACATCAGCATTGACAACATCAACACTTCGACAATCGGTCTACTAGATCTTCGTAGGCGTCTCGCTATCATTCCACAAGATGCGGCTCTTTTCGAAGGCACCATCCGTGACAATCTCGACCCTGGCCACGTACACGATGATACCGAACTATGGAGCGTCCTTGGTACGTAGTTACACCAGTTTCCCTGTGTATCGTTCGGTCACATGGTCGGACAGATTACTTGCAGTATACATAATCCACCGTTGAAGGAAAATGACTAATCTGACTTGCAGAACACGCCCGGCTAAGGGATCATGTAACGAGTATGGATGGTGGTCTAGAGGCTAAGATCCACGAAGGAGGTGAGTTTAGACGAGCACTATCTCCCCAGTCGCTTTGCATCGGCTTTCACATGCTTTGTTTGCAACACCCATGAATTGTCGTGGATGGTGAGATGACTGGCTCTGCATCATGCCACGGCTATCTGCGTATTGTGCTAGCTATACGATGGGATTTGCGAAGAAGCGGCCACACCGGACCAGTCTTTCGGCACCGCGAATGCTGTCATCCATCTTGTGTATCCTACTTCCTTGCCGCATAGAGCAGTCCCTGCATGATCTCCATCGCATAGAAGCATGTCTGTCCTCGTGGCTGGCCGGCGATCTGCGGTTTCCTGGTCATCGGTATCACCTCCTGCACGATGAGCTGAGCATATCGCCGAAGTCCTCGGCTTTATGTGTGCGAGGGATTGGTCTTGTTTCGTCATAGACTGCACATGAACATACGGCTTGTTCTCCGTGAGAATTGTTAGGCTGACCGTTAATTTCTCTCTAGGTTCGAACCTGTCGCAGGGTCAGCGCCAACTCGTATCTCTAGCGCGTGCGATGCTCACACCCTCCAACATCCTGGTTTTGGACGAGGCCACAGCTGCGGTGGATGTGCAGACCGACGCCATGCTGCAGACGACACTACGAAGCCCAATGTTCTCGAACCGCACCATCATCACCGTCGCTCACCGAATCAACACGATTCTGGACAGCGATAGGGTGGTGGTTCTCGAGAAGGGCGAGGTGGCAGAGTTTGATACCCCCCAGGCGCTAATCAAAAAGAAGGGTGTCTTCTACGGGCTCGTCAAGCAGGCGGGCCTGGACACGGAGGGGGATGGGGAGGAGTGAAGCCGACAAGACACAAGATTCGGCAGAGAGGACGATCAAGGTGTACCCCCAAAATGTACTAGGCGTGAATTGACTGGCGTATGGGATGATTACGACAAGAATCGTGACCCGGTCGTCCTGCTGTGTACCCCCAAAATATTCCAATGTAGACTGTAAATAGATGGCTAAGGATCCGGTATTATAGCTCACCATCTTAACAAAACCGCTTTAATTCGGTTAAGAGGCCGTGGCTAGTCATTGGGTTGCATATTCCGGACTGCTGCCCCAAGCAATAGCCAGGCGAGGTTCTTCCATGATGCTTCGACCCGGATCCGACGACGAGGAAGAGCAAGACGAGACCATTGACCCATTTGCCGTAGTACCAGTCTAAAGCAGTCAGCTCCGCGATAGGACTCGGCCGCTCGTCATCTCGGCTGGTAACCGGTGAGCCCATCGGCATTTGCTGGCCTGGCGGCGGGGCAGGAGCAGGAGGATTGGCATCGGGTACGGTCTCTGCTGCGCTGTGCTGAGTGATTGATCCCTTGCGTTTCTCGATCCTGCGAGAGCCCCCGGGAACAAGCTTCTCACGGGCGGCACGCTTCGACGGCCCATCCATGGGTCTAGAGGGCGGTACGGTACGATCCTGCGTGGGTGGACTCGTGCTCCATCCTTCCGTCATGTATGGACCGAGTCAGGTTGGCCGAATCCAATGCCCTTACCTATCTGTATCTTTGCTGGGAAATATGCTGGAACAGCTGTAGGCTCTGCAGCATATGTATGTACCATGCACGCTTTTATTTCGAAGCACAGTGGTAAGACCTATGAAGAACCTGCAGCCCATAGCCACGTTGAAGCATCAGAGAGTGACTGAAAGATTAGCCCAGCCTAAACGCTCAACATTGTTTCCGAGAATCTACTATCGGATATCCATTGGATGTCCGGGAACCACATTGGGGTTGACAATTGGACCATCTCCGCTTTTGGGGTAGGAAAATTTAACGTGTAAGACGGATATTCGGGGAGATAACGACGTTCCAGGATACAGTACCCATTTGTAGAATCGATGACTATTTTCAACCTCCTCTTTGGCGGTTATGACCAGCTACCACGCTGAATCCAGACCGGTCACTACTATTAAGACATGTATCCTAAGCATGATTCGCTACGTAGCAACCTGTAAAGCAATTCTTGTTGCTTGGTCTTGGGCGGATGGAGGGTATGTGATCAAATATATGAACAAGCATATCCAATGTCGAGGTACCAATGAGGAAATAGGATTACAGACCCCTTGCTATAACCAGAGTTAGCTCACCGTCAAGTACTACCATATTGCTCTACGATGCTACCTTTTCAATCAATTGTTGCAAATCAATGTGTGGTACTTTTCTTCTATCGACGTCTTTTCACGGATTGTTCTCCGAGGGGCCGTTCAACAGGACCATTGAGACACCAATGCTCGGCCACAACGTGCCGGGAAGATCATTGCATACAGCGTTGCAGTGGGCGTTTTCCAAATTGTGGGTTCAGTAAGCCGATCAAGGAAACAGAAGCTGGGGTGGGTGTCTGTGAAGGTTGCGAATGTCCTAGAGAAGAGTCTTGGGGTTGTTTCATCGCGTCACTGGGCGAGCCCACAAGGCCGAGCTGAGAGAGTGGCTTCGAAACAAAGATGCCCGTTCCCTGCGGCGTCACGACTACCCCATCTTTGGCACACAGCAGCAGAAGAAAGAAGAGGCAGCCAAGAAGGGCCGTCGCACTGAATCCACATCGACCAGCATACAGCATACTGCGCGGCAGAGCCAGCACAGCTGAGAGCCACAAAAAGTCAGGCAGGCTCAGTGTCGGCAGTCTCACAACAGCTATAGAGAGCCGTTCCGAAGCCTGTGTGGCGTACAAAAACGACGTGCCATGCATGATAATCCGAATGAGGCCTGGTATGGCGTCGAGAGGGGCTTTTTTTCTGCAGCTGCTGTGTAACATTATGCAGATGGCCGCCTGCTGTCCAAGCAGAGAAAGCAATTGAGGAATAGCTTCCTGGAGGGGTGGTTGGTGGTGGTCTGGGTCACAATGAGGGGTGTAGGTGAGTTGTGTGCCTTTCTGGGCGCTTCACCACTACGCAGTGATATGCACGCATCTCTCTTCTGCATCTCCTTCGTCAGGTCCATTATCTAGGTTGGACCTCGTTCGATAGCGAACGGGATATCGTTCCTACCAATTGTATTCTCTGTCGTGGTCATTGAGTGCAGTACGCCACAGGAAGATACATCAGTGGGCAAAGAGGCATCTGACCTGCCCGAGCGTTCACTTAGCAAGGTATATGAAGTCAGTCTGACATAGAAGAAATATGTGGCTTGACATTATACACAAACTAAGCATGGAGTGAACAAGGTCTTTGGATGGAACATAGACCAGTACTATGTTGCCTCCTCAGGTCGAAACTTTGGAGGCCAAACCGGCACTGTTCTCGCAAGGTGACATTTTCAACCATTTGAAAAGAAATATTCTAAGGGACGACAGATCTGAAATGACTGCTCCGTACGGTTGTGTTGTGAGTTCGGGCCGTTGGTAGTTTGATGGTTCCCGAGGTTGTATCTGCATAAGCGATGTTTGTTGGTTTAGGTATCAAACCGCACGTCTCGTGCAAGTTCGTATCAGGCAACCCGTAGATTGCATGTAGCTCTGGTGGTCTGTGCCAAGAAGACTTATCACATCAGCAGAGTCTCTTCAGTAAACTCCATGTGGATGCTCGCTCGTGGACGACTGGAAAGATGTAGAGTGATGGAGTCGGACTGTCGTTTGGAATGCTTTGCTTCTTTCGAAGTACTTGACCATCAACCACTCTTTTAATTATGGCGCTCTAAGTTGCTTGGTACGACCTGGGCGGACCAAAACGCCTGAAACGTCCGACAGTGCGGGTGGCTTCAACCACGCAGTGCTTGTGTGACTGTGATAGTGATGGCATCGAAGCCACACATTAGCGTCTAAACAGCTGATTGGGAACCCATGGCAGCAGTATCACCGTCGAGGCGTGACTTCGTACCTCGAATCTGAATCGGCACAATAATAAGAATTTGTTGATTTACTTAGTTTCATGGAGATCGAGCTATGACTAAGATGCCGCAATATGTGTCCATTCTACAGCCAAGAGTCGTAAATACACGCAGAGAACGACTGTAGATCTTGCATGGGCTGCAGATGGGGAGTGGATATTTTCGTGTAGTCTGGACATCTCGCGAGTCGCACAGGACGGCCCGCGAGGACACTGACAGGAAATGTGGGCCGCAGACAAGGGGTGAGGCGAATTCGCGAGAATCACCGGTCACCGCTGCACAGAAGCCTCGATAGTTCCTATGCACTTAATTTCAGCCTTCCCCATACGGCAGATTGAGGGGTTTGCATTAGAAGTGAGGCGTGTGAACTTACAGATGTCGGGAATCTCAGTACCATGGGGAAACAAGCCACAGAGCCTAGAATGGAAAACAACGGTGAGTACCTTTATCACTTCTGATATTGCAAGTAGGATCATCTGCTATGAAGTTCAATAGCTTTAGCAAGCGCCTGGTTGGCTTGTAACTAGCCAGGGGCGGATAATTAGAACATGGAAAATGGTAGCCCATCCTCGCCATCCTACCTCCGATCCGCAGGAGCCATCATAGCAAGCTGGTAAGAAACCCTGCTGGTGCGAGGAGCTAATTGAAACTGGTGATCATTTAGCAGAGGATTGGCTTGCACCTGTGTAGCAATGACAAAAGGAGGATTTCGTGACCCTTTGGTGCAGTCATCGGAGATGAACCGATGTGGAAGGACAGCACAATGCCGCCGAGCCAAAGAACCTTGAGAATGGTTGGAAGTGCAAGCAATGAGAGCCCATGGAGAGATCGCCAAACACAGCCAATAGAGAGGCATTCCCAATTAGCGAAGCGTGGAAATCAGGCCATTTGATGTACACAATGCGAATAGCCCACTGAAGATCCATTATTACAACCGCACTTTCCATCAGCAGCAGACATTCTCCCCTGTCCTGGCCAGGGTCAGACCCGACAGACTGGTAAGAGGCCCTAGCAATCGCCAGGTGACCCAACAACCACATGAATAGCTTTTCATGTGCTCGTTAGTTGCAGGCGCGGAATATCGGAAGACTTCAGGTTGGTCCTTTTTCTCGCCATGCATGCAGGGCCTTTCCAAGCGACCTGGGCCAGCGATACGATGTCGCCCATCGCTGCCACCCACAGGAAAAGTAGGCAGATTCGAGAGGGCTAGCAAGTCCACACTACTGAGGATGCTCAAAAGGCACTCCGACGATTGTTCAGAGATTGCCCCAGATATTAGACCGCCTCTTGCCAAGACGCGCCGGTTTATCTAGTGAATCGCGATAGCCCGATACACTAAAGTCCGGTTCAGCGCTCAGCCCATCACTAGAACTCGGGTTCCTTTAGATGACTGAATGCGAGCCGTAGCGCGCGAACGGCCTTTCCGGAAAACGCTTGAATGATGATGCCCTTTACCAACTTGGAGGGCGAAATTTATCAGGCGCGTTGCGAAACGCAACCTTCCAGTCAGCGGCCTTAGCATTCCCCCGCCAGCGAGGCGAGTCCCTAGTCTCGACTTTGAATACCCGAATCGTCGCAAGATCGGCCCTAGCAGGTGTCCTTGAGTCAAGAAGATATTCTAGATGTTGACGTGCGTAAAGTCAGGGCCAATTATGAGGACGGCGTGGTGTCAGCAGGGCACGAGTCGAAGGGAGGCGAACTGCAGCATTTTGAGGCCTAAGCACTGGATGCACCGGGGCCATATTCCCTTTTATGAGCCATGTCTACTGTGTATGCCACCGCCGTGCACCTCGGGATACTGAGCGAGCGCAAAGGCTCTGGAAGAGGTCTGGATATGGTTGGTACGCCGCTGCCGCGGGGTCGGGCACAATGGCGAGACGTAGATTCGCGATAGCTGGATGCTTAGACAGTCTCACATTGCTCGATTTCTCGATAAGGTACGTCGATCAATCGTACGAGTTTGGGACATGCAGC